CTTGACGGGAGACAGAACTGACTTGTCCCGATTGACAGTAAACCCGAGTTCCTCCAGTAGGTTGACTGCTTTTGAGCAGTTCCGTATTAGACGGGACCGAACTGGATCTGCGAGCCACCAATCGTCCAGGTAAGTCAGAAGACGAAGGCCCATCTTCCGTAAATATGCAACCACAGGGATCAGCACTTTCGTGAACGCCCTTGGCGCATCCGAAAGTCCGAACGGCAGGCAAGTGTACCTCCAGAGGTCCCCTGCTTCCGGATGGCGAAAACAGAGGTAGCGCCGATCGTCCGGATGCACACTGATGGAATGGTAAGCACACTTCAGGTCGAGTTTGCACATGTACATGCCGGGTTCGAGGAGTGCCGGTAGGTCTTGCAGTGACTGCATTTTGAAACGTTCTGTCTTCACAAACTTGTTCAGCTTCTTCAGGTTGAAGATCACACGCCATTTGCCCTCCGCCTTGGGCGTTACAAAGAGGGGACTCACGAATAATGCCTGTTCTGCGGTGGTCCTCTCGATGGCACCGATCTTCACAAGGTCGCTCAGCTCCTTGATCAGAGCTTCCAACTCGGCATTCGGTAGGCGGGATTTCCCACGGGGCTGCAACTGACTGGGCAGCATTGAGAACGGGATACGATAAAACTTAACTGTAGCTAGCACCCACGGATCGCTGGTCACACTGGGCCAGACTGATGCCGCTGCACTCAGACCTCCGGCCTGGAATGCAGGATGGGTCGACCGTCCGGCTGGTCCACACACTGGTAGAGTTGCCGGAGGATGGTCGATGGCCCGGTTGCTGTAGTCAGGCAGTGGAGCTGCTCTGGGCAGGGTCCGCTGCTCTGGGCCTGAATGCTGGTCGCGTTGGACGTCCTCGTGGATTCCAACGGGGCGAGGAGTGATACGATCCTGATCCTGACGGTCTGTTGGCCGAATGTGGTCTGGAACGCTGTTGCCAGTCAAACTGACGACCTCGAAAGGGCCGGTTCGATCCTTCTGATGACCGACCACGGTAGCTCTGCTGCGGTTCACGCCCTTTCGGGCGGCGACTAGACCAATGGCCCGTTGCCTTGGCTAGTGTTTTACGGTCTTCACCTTTTTTGTCCAGTGTTGCTAAGAACTCTTTACCAAACAGGTCAGTTCCCGAGGAGGGTAGCTTCACCTCCTTACATGCTTTGGACAAGGCCTTGTCCGCGGCCGCATCCACAATGACGGATCGCCGCACTTGAGAAAGCCGACCATTCACGTTTCCCATCATGACTAAAGTACGCTGGATAGTATCCAGTATCTGGTCGACAGGGACCTCCGCGCAATCCTTGTTGTGGAGGACGTCCTCCCACAACTGGCACAACGGCCCAGCTGCTGCCAGTATGCTTTTCTGCACACGCGTTTGCGAACCGTCCATGGATTTCGGGAACTTTTCCCCAAGCCATGATTGTAACGACGTATCCGCCTCGGGAGCGAGCATGGCCGCGGTATCGGGTCTCGGATTCTCCAAACTCATGTCCTTCAGAACATCATCGGAGAGAGTTCGGCGGAAATGCTTCTCCACATACATGTAGTTCCCGACCATCGGCACAGCGTCGTACAGGAACTCTGAAACACTGCCATGCTTCTCCTCAGGAGGCTCGAAGAGGCGCTGAGCCATTGACTCAACCGAACCCGTCTGACACGGTGGGAGTGTTTGTGAGTTCATTACGGTAGCACTGGAGTGCGTACCACCCACCGTATGTTGATTAGTACTCAGCTGAGTATAAGGCAATTGGTCACCGGCAGGTCCGGGCCATGATAAAGCCTGAGATACGCCAGGCACACCTTATGTGCGCCCATCAGCAGAGGACATTCCAAAATGTCCACTGACAGAATGATATTCCGTCGCGGGGGGGAGCCGGCATCGGTCGCCCAGTTCCACCCTGTGCAGTGTTGCACTCAGACGCTTGAACATTACTCAGTTCCGCATCAACGGGACGATCCACATCTGCAGTACCTGGTGCTGGCGGAAACACCAAAGGCAGCTTGACAGGCTCGTCCTGTGCGGTAGCCCGCACTTCGTCAAAACTCAACGACAATGCCATATTTGTCAGAAAGGACTTGGAAATAAAACAATGCAATGACTTTTGCAAACGTGCGCAACGAAGGCGAGAGAAAAAAGGCCACTGTTGGTCAGGGAAGAGCCGGGCTTGAGGGCGAAGTTGTGTTTTTTTAATGACGTCACTATTAATTCTCGGTGAAAATATGAAAGAGAACAGGCCTAACACACTGGAACATCGAGCCGGAGCCTCTGAAATGTAACTCCCAGATCGTTAAACCATCTTCTTGTTAGCCTACAGGCTTTCAATGTTCGTTACATTTACAGCTCATTATAGCAACAAGTCTTACATTACCTTGCAAACATCTGTTGTTGCCTGAGGTGAGAGTCAAAGCAAATAGATGCAAAAGGCACAAAGAAAGGCGTGTGGGATATACACACTTTTCTAAATGGAATGACACACAACCTTTCATTATGTATTGTTCTGTAGAGGCGTGCTCCTACCTCGGCACACACCCAAACCACACAAAGGACCAGCTCGCGACTACCAAGAGAACTCTGTTAGAAAACTCTGGCTCCAAGCCGCAATTGCTTGAAACCTTTCACCGAACTCGTAAGCACTAAAGCCTACTCTAGCCAACTCACTACTGCAGTGAAAACGTCTAGCTTATAACACTGGCATGCCAAGAACTCCATCAACAGGCGCGAAAGAAGGTGAAGACAAAGCCTGTGACAAAGCCTGTGACTTTAAAGTGTGAACCCTAACGAAAGTCACAGCTACATGTAACACGAAACGAGGATGCATGTCAGTGACATGTGCGACCTCCTGAACATTCTCCCCTTCCCGATATGTTGAAAAGTAACATCGAAAAGCATATCGCAACTCAACAAACAAATTTCCAATGCGACAAAAGCATTATTCCGAAAAGCTGTTGAAGAAATACAGCAAATGAACAATGTGAACACATTCAAGAAATAGTGAATCAAACTTTCCTTGAAATCAGTTTCACAAACGCCTCCGGCTGGTTGTTGTCACCTAGCCAATGTGACACCAGGGGCTTTAGCACAAGCCAAGCGGACATAGTCGCGTGATAGGGCGTGTCTTCTCCTTGCCGCCCACAAGCACCTTAGCCACTCGTACATGTCCATCTGGACCAGGAAAGACTGCCGTAATTCTTCCCAACGGCCAGTGCCCTCGTGGCGTGTCGGGATGAAGAACATCTGGTTGAGTATTTCTCTCCGGTGGTCGCCACAAGAAACGCAAGTACGGTTGGTCCTCGGAGTGATTTCGAATCTGAAGGTACATCTCCCGAATATCACAAATGATGGTTACCGAGTTGCGCCGGAATCCGAGCAGCACTTCCAGTATCTCTCGCTGCAGCGTAGGGCCCGGCTCTACGCAGTCGCTGAATACCATGCTGTAATTGTCGGGCAGTTTTGATTTCTGGCCATTCCATTGAAGGTGAATCTCGTTCCCAGCCCCGTCGAGTTGCCGCATTGACTGCTCAACTTCAGGCTTCACACTGTGGTCCTTCATGTGCCAGGAGGGCTCAGGGCTGATACCGCCTTGATAAACTTCCCGTTGCCGGTTCAGCTGTACGCTACAGTAGGTGCTGTTGGCGCGGGTTGGTCGATCATCATTATTTAATACTGCTCCGATACATGTCCAACCTAATGGCGTTCTGCGAGCTAGCGGTTCTCCCGGCTTGCTATTGACTTCCTCCCAGCAAGAATGCAATTCACTATGATCACTGCCAATTAGAAGGTCCACTGATTCCTCGGTGAGAGCCGTGAAGGGAACATCTCGCAGGTGGTCCCATTGCGCTGCCGCATTCGCCCAGTCAACAGCCTTCAAGTTGCTTGCGATGCTTTCAATAGTTAGCGCCGTTAATTTGGACTGGAATATTCCGTCAGCGCTTTCCACTGTGATGTTGACCGGCGTCGTGACGAATGTTTCCGTCAACCCGCTCAGAAGAGAAACTGATGCCTGCTGCGGTCTTCCTGCCACCCTCAACTTCCCGGCAGCTGCAGTGGTTATGTAGGTGGTAGTGCTGCAATCGTCCAACATAGCGTTAACCTGTATCCGTTCTCCTTCATGCACAAGCGACACCGGGAGGATGCGTAACGAGACCGAAGGTACTCCACGTGGCCGATCTTCTCCCAGATCCGGCTCCCCTTCCGTGGTGTTGCATGCTTGGATGGAGCAATTAATAGAGGCTGGCTCTATTGCAGGTGTTGTTGCCCCTCTTGTGCTGATTGAAGCTGTGGGAGCGCTTGACGATGCTACATCACTGCTCATGGCTGCTTCAGGCAGGTTCCGTTTCTGCTGCGGTTGACGATCATGAAGCAGCTGGTGATGTGTCTGACTGCAGCCACTGACACCGCACTTCCTGTTTCTGGTACAGGATGTCCCTCGATGTCCAGTGCCAAGGCACCTATAGCAGAGGCCTTTCTTCTTTGCTGTTTCCCACCGCCTGCTGGGCGACTCGCTCTTGAAGATATCACAACTCCATGTGTGATGGGGCGCATCACATACTGCACACTGGATTTTGGCAGCGCTCTGACCAGAGACCAGGAATGACGACGCGTGGGCTCCGGAACTGCCACCGAACGTTGGTCGACTTCTTGCAGGGGCTGGTTTAGTCGGCACCGCCGCTGCATGATGACCACCCGCAGAACTGACTCCGTGGGCCATCTCCGCTGCTCCAGTAGCGAATTCTGCCTCGAGAGTCACCCATTCCAATAGCGTTGGTACACTGCTGGGTTTCGTGTTGTTGTGACGCCAACGGTTAAACTGGGTCAGCATGGCCATCGGCAGCTTGTTTTGCAGCTGTCGGAACAGAAGACCATCGCCCAGCTCATATTCCTTGCCTGCATCCACCATGTTCACTATCAGCACATCCAGCAAATCGGCGAATCTCTGCAGGTCTCCAGGCCGGCCTGTCCGGAGGGCGGGGAACGACTCTATTTCCTCAAATTGGAGGTTTGTCTGTCTCTGCTCGCCACCAAATTTCCTGTCTAAACGGTTTACGGCGGCTTCGTAGGCATGGGCCGAGTAACCTAGGCTCTCGATGGCGACCAATGCCTCTCCACCTAAATACTGCTTCAGGTGCAGGAGCTTCACCTCCGGACTTGAGCTCGTCTGCCCAACACAAGCCATGAAGGCTGCTCTCCAGGCACAATAGGCTCTCTTGTTGCCTGTAAACATTGGAATTTGTATGGGTTTCAGCCGCCGGAATATCTCGTCCGATGACTGCTGATGCCGTGTTTGGCCTGGTGCTACTGATGGCACCGGTACTGGTGCGGCAGTCGACCCTGCTGGTTGCAAGCCCATGGCCTGTGGAGCGGGCGGGCTCCACAGACTAGCTGCTGGCACAGTGTGCACGCCGGCCACACCACTGGCGCCAGCCCACTGCCGAGACGCAGATGTAATTATTACTGGCGACTGAGTAGTGGTGTGACGGGTGTCAACGGATTGCTGGAATAGCGTGGCAGAAGCGGATCCAGGCGACCTGCCGATTGCGCTGAATAGCGTTGCAGGTACGGATGATCCAGGCAGTCTGTCGATTGCGCTGCTTCCGCTGACTGTCTGCTGGGATTCAGGCATATCTGGCCTCATTCCGTTTGCGCTGTTGGCGCTGGCAATCTGGAGTGCTAACGTTTCAGCCGGTGACACAGGTAGGTTGCTGGTCATGCTGATCGCTCCAGTGCCGTTCGCGCTGTTTGCGCTGATCAATCCCCAAGGCGCTGATCCTGCAGCTAGCGCAGAGGTCACAGGCTGTGCGCTGTCCGCGCTGGTCTAAATTTCCGACGCATGCACAGGCCCGGATCCAGGCGGCCTGCCAATTGCGCTGAATAGCGTTGCAGGCTCGGATCCAGGCGGCCTGCCGGTTGCGTTGAATAGCGTTGCAGGCTCGGATCCAGGCGGCCTGCCGGTTGCGCTGAATAGCGTTGCAGGCTCGGATCCAGGCGGCCTGCCGGTTGCGCGGAATAGCGTTGCAGGCACTGGTGCAGACTCTGGATCTGACGCATGTGGTGCGCTGCTCGCGCTCATCTGGGGAACAGCCGCGGACAAAGGCGGACCGCTTGTCGCTCTGTTCGCGCTGTCCAAGTGCCCGGTGGCGCCAGACTCTAAAGCGGCAGCAGCTGGCGCGCCGCTCCCTCCAACCTGCGCCGCAGCCGCGGACAAAGGCGAGCCACTTGCCGCTCTGCTCGCGCTGACCTGGGTCTTAGACGGAGTGAGCGCTCTGTGGACCAACGGCGTCTCTGGTCGCAACTCATCCGTGCCCATGGTGACTTTCGGTCCGCTTTCGCTGACCGCCTTGTACTTGTCTTCGCTGACTTCAGCAAGACCGTACTCCGTTCCCCGGTGCTGGTCTGCAACTTGCTCTACGCCGGCTGTCCGGCTCGTCGGCTCGTACGTGTAGCCATGGTAGCCGTAGTCGTACGCTAGTCCACGTGCAGCAGTAGACTCCGAGGCCTCAACTGAACTTCTGCCGTGCGCGTGCAGGTAGCTCCGGGCTCCAGCCCAACTGGGCATAGTGCTTGCGGCAGGTCCGCTGTACCCGTACCCGACCTCCGAAGCTAGTTCGCGTCGAGCCTTGACTGGGTGGGGCCGCTGTGAGACGCCCAGGTACGACTCGTAGTCAGTTTCCTCCGCGTAACTACGTACCTGCCCACGTACGTCCTCCAAAATGCTCTCGGTTGCGGTAGTGAATTGTTCCTCGAGCAATTCCGCTTCCCGCAGCGTTCCTTCCATACGCTTCTCTTCGTTAGTTGAGCTGTACAGACTGACGAGGTTCATGATAGCACTGGTGGCGTTGTCATAATGTGAGCTTAGCTCGGCTAGCTCGTCGTTAGCTTGCTCTCCTCGCACTCCGCCATTCATGGAGCGCACGAGAAGTGTCCGCCGCGCGTTGGTGAAGTGTTTTTTAGCCACCATCTTTTCTCTAAGCAGCTCGCTAAGCTTCTCGCGCTTGTTCTCTACTGCCGCTGGTTCTTCTCGGTGGTTTGCTTCCTCGGTGCTGGCAGTCCCGTCCTCCGCGGCATGGCTGTCTTCCTCCTTGTCCTCTTTGACTGGAGACTCCATAGCCGCGCTTAGGTGGAACGTTCAGCACTTACGAGGTCGACTCGACTTAATTAACCATCCTCTGCTACCAATATGTTCTGTAGAGGCGTGCTCCTACCTCGGCACACACCCAAACCACACAAAGGACCAGCTCGCGACTACCAAGAAAACTCTGTTAGAAAACTCTGGCTCCAAGCCGCAATTGCTTGAAACCTTTCACCGAACTCGTAAGCACTAAAGCCTACTCTAGCCAACTCACTACTGCAGTGAAAACGTCTAGCTTATAACACTGGCATGCCAAGAACTCCATCAACAGGCGCGAAAGAAGGTGAAGACAAAGCCTGTGACAAAGCCTGTGACTTTAAAGTGTGAACCCTAACGAAAGTCACAGCTACATGTAACACGAAACGAGGCTGCATGTCAGTGACATGTGCGACCTCCTGAACATGTATTCTGTGTATTCTTTGTGTGGATTAATTTCTGTGCTGTGTTCTGTTGTGACTTCTCCTACAGTACAAACTATCACGTGCTGAGCTGTCTGGTCGTACACTGTGGGTATCAGTTTGGGACAATGCCCGCCTTGGACATAACGCTTTCCTTGGTGAAGTGCGTCTTCTACTCGACAACATTCAGAGCCATCAGGACACTGAAACGTTCGACTTGCAAGAAAAGGTTTGTTCTCTGGCAATCTCTGCCAATCTTTGCACATATGTATCACACGACTGTTACCTTTATCCACTGGTGTGTTGTACCAGCACATGCAACGTGTCTAAATACTTACTTAGGCTTGGGTCTTCACGAACAAGTCGCTTTCAGCTGCGGTTGAAAACGGCTTGTGCTGAGCGGGGGAAACATTTGTTTTGTGTGCGTTACTCATTCCATTGTGAAGAGTTTCATGTTTTCTTCTGCGATGGGTCCTATGTTGTTGACAGCCAGTAAGACTAGGATCTGACCTCTATGTTAATCACCTAATCTGAGCTTACCAGTTACCGCACATTGCCAAGTATCTTTTACAGCTTTAGTACCTTTTACAGTTTTAGTACCTCTTACAGTTTTCCACTTTTGGGGGACAACAACCTTGTACTGGATGTTAGCCGTGTGTTGGTGCAAGAATCAATAATTATGACCGTTCCTATACGATGCATGATGTGTGTTTCAATGTTCAGGATAGCTTGCCCTCTAACATGGTGGTTGATGACGATTTAGAGTCTGCAGTCCGTAAAGTAGACAACGACGTACCCATGGAGCCAATCCGGGAACGAGTGTCCAAAGAGTCCGTGAAGAATAGCATACCTGCGTCACCGGATTTGGAGAAGTCTGAGACTGGTGCAGCTGGTGTCGCTACTTCTGAAAACCCGCCATCAGTACAGTGTGAGATACAACAGCCAGAGAATGTGGATGATGATAAGTCACCCACCCCGGCTTCTGCCATTGGAAAAACGAGTGCTGGAGCCGAATCAGCTATGAATGAGTCCTCGCAGAAATCGGCTTTGAACTCTCGAACCACCAGCCTCAAAAGAAGTGTAAGTGAACGTGTTCTCCCCCCCCCCCTCCCTTTCTCTCCCCTCCCCTCCCTTTCTCTCCCTCCCTTTCTCTCTCTCTCTCTCTCTCTCTCTCTTACGTGCAAGAGTGTATGGTAATTCCCTGGCTTTTGTCTTTTGTTTCGCCTGTCACCTGTGTCTTCCACATTTGATCGCCCAGAAAATGCAGTGGTTTATTTGTTTAACCATGCGATTAGCTTGTACAACGGGCATGCCTCTGACATGGGAGAGTTGATAGAGTAAGCTTTGTACTGTCCATGACTGGGATATTGATGTGTCAATCTGCTTTCTTTGTAGAATTTCGTGTGATGTTTATTATGGTACTTGTGTTATTACAGAACAGCGTAACTAGCATTGGCAGCACTGCATCAGCGTTTGTCAACTCTGCAAGCGTTGTTGAGGTAACAGGTTCTATTACTCTCTCCATACTCTATGTAAAGAAGAAGCTTGATGTGCACATTGTCAGGTGTGAAGGCCTCAGCGCACCACACAAGAGGTCCACTGCTGACTCGTGAGTTACAGCTGTTGTGAGAGACTCTACAGTCATGTAGATATGTGCGTGCTATTTTTTACTTAGCAAGTTGTAAGATTCCACTGTAGCTTTTGTTTTATCCAAGAATTCTTACTCCCCGCCCCCACGCACGCGCGCGCACGCATGCACACACACACACACACACACACACACACACACACACACACACACACACGCACCTGTGCGCACACATGCTCTGTCTCTCTCTCTCTCTCTCACACACACACACACCTAGCGTGTGCAGCTACAATCCACTCTAGTTGTTCATGGGAAACCCTGCCCAGTGTCATTGTTCTTCAGCTAATAGTGCTACTCAGACGGGGATGATGTAGTGTACGCGACTGTGTGGGTGATCGTGTGTGCTGTAGGAATTTTACTGGGGTTGTGGCCGGCAGAGCTGTACACTGTGTGTGTGTGTTCCTAGTAGTGATGCAAGGAATATTCGAGTTATTCGAATATTCTAGAATACCGAGACCAGAAGGAGTATTCGAATGCAGGCAGCAACATTCGATATTCGAAAAATTCGGACTTTTTGGTTGTGTTATTTACGAGCTCCAACCTTGATCTCCTGAGCAATATGGAGGATGATAGTGTAGAAATTATGTTCTCTATCAGACTATCATCCATTCTTTCTGAAACCTTCTGTCCTGTTTGTCTCTATGTGTTTGTGCGTGCATGCGTTTGTGTGTGTGTGTGTGTGTGATTATCTATTGTAGGTATGTCAAGGCCTACTTGTTGCCTGATCCTAAGAAGCAGTCCAAGAAGAAGACCAAGCAAGTCTCGAAAAGCCTCAGTCCTACCTTCAATGAAACCCTATCTGTGAGTTCAGGATGGGCACAGGGGGTAGTAGTAGACGAGTAACGCGCCGGGAATTCTCGCCTTTGAGAGACCGTTGCCATGGAAATCTGCCTGAGATCAACCAGATGTGCCCGCAGGAATACAAACGTGCACGTGAGCTCTTTGCCCGCGAGCATTATGGTGTTTTACGTCGACCACGACGGCTACAATGGCCAACCAGACCACAACGAAGTTGGGGCCAAAGAGAAAGTTTATTTCTTTCCATCCAAATAATTATATACAAACGACCATTTTTATGAAAAATTATTTATGTACACAAAACGCATGTACGAAGTCACCACAAGCACTCTCAACCTGCAGGCACTGTAGCTCCTGAAAGTTCTGTACACGGCTGGGTAGCGAGGGGAAGCACATGTTACAACTGGTGTTTCTCAGGGAGCCGTTTGTACCGCACTGCAACTCCCTGATTTTCTCTTTGCAAACGTCGCAAGTCCTCGACTGACTGTCCCCATGGTTACCAATGTATTCACGTGTACTTGTACTTGTGGCACCCCGGGTTTTGCCCTGTGAATCAAACCCTCGCGTTTGAGTGTCGTATCTCTCAGATTACCCACACATTCGCCTGCTGAATGAACTGTCCCTAATGCTACTTCGAAGTACATGTAGTTCACGCTTTGCATGCATGCCTTCCACAACTCAGTGGGGCAGTACAGTGTGTTGGGCAGCAGGTGTATCAAAGCCAGTGCTGATAAGGTGAGACGTCCGTTGTTTAGGGGAGTGCTTCTGTGGCCAAGAAGTGCGTATCAGGCTTCATCAAACTGCATTGGTCCGGTTCGATCATGGTTGACGGTCACACAACTAAAGGGTTTGTTAATGGTTAGACTCATTTTTGGAATCACTTTCTACATGCATCATGTAGTCCTGTCAGTTGTAATTCCCCTTTCTTCTTCTTCTTCTTCTTCTTCTTCGTCGTCGTCGTCCCCGTCCTCTTTTTCTCTTTGGCAGTTCAAGATGCCGGAGAAGGACTTGACATCTCGCGTCTTGTGGGTATCGGTCTGGGACAATGCACGGCTCTCGCAGAACACATTCCTGGGAGAACTTCGCTTGGATCTTAGCAGCATGGACTTCTCGGAGAAGTGGACGAAGACATTTAACCTGGTGGAGAAGGTAGGGTGAATGTGCTCAGCTTATTCTCTCTTTCTTATTGTATTTTGAAAACCTATTGTTCAAGTGGGTTACTTAACAATTTCATTCATCTTGGGCACCCTGTAAGAAGACCTTGGGTCTGTTGGGAATGCCCAAGTAAAATAATAAAATACAATACAAAAAAAAAGTGGGATGTATTCAGTACTGGCTGAATTCATATGTTCTTGTAGTGCCGAATGACGTACATGACCTGCTTGCCCGAAACACTGCCAAGTCCAGCGATGCCATACCAGTATGCGTGTACGTGCACAAATCAACCATGCCGGCCCCATGTGCAACTGGAACAAGCAGCCCGGGAATGAAACCCACACCGCTTAGCGTTACAATCAGCGATGTGGTCTTCCTGCACGCCCAGACTCCCCGGGTGAACATTTGTATGAATTCCTCATACAAGTACAAAACATGCACTGTATCCGAACACCTGGCAAGGTTTCTCTGTTCATGGGTGGTTGGGTAGTCGATGTTCAACTGGGAATTGTGATGCAGCTGCAAATTCCAAAAATGCGGGGGGGGGGGGGGGCAGGTAAAGACAATGCGAGCGAAGAACTTTCTCTCTCTCTCTCTCTCTCTTTCTCTCTTTCTCTCTCTCTCTCTCTTTCTCTCTCTCTCTCTCTCTCTCTCTCTCTCTTATTTGCGTGCAATCTCTCAACCAAATGTGTTTTTGTTGTTTTGTTTCGCTGTGTCTGTCGGCGGTGTGTGCAGGACTGTGAACCTGTGCTGTTGCGTGCGGTAGGACATGCAGAAACGGCAACAGCTGCTCGCAAGGTGCAAGAAGAGGAGGAAAAGCGCCGCCTGGAAGAGGAGCGCCAGCAACAGGAGGCTAAACAGCAGGAGGAAGAGTGGAAACGCCTTGAAGCAGAACGCCAAAAGGAAATAGAAAAGCAGGCTGAAAGAGAACTGCTGCAGAAAGAAGCAGAGGAGAAAGAGAAACAGCGCCAAGAAGAAGAAGAGAGACAACAACGTGAAGAGGAAGAGAAAAGACAAAAGGCTGCAGCTGAGGAAGAACAGCGCCTAAAGGAACAAGCTGAGAAGGAACGGCTGCAGAAAGAAGCAGAGGAGAAAGAGAAACAGCGCCAAGAAGAAGAAGAGAGACAGCAACGTGAAGAGGAAGAGAGAAGACAAAAGGCTGCAGCTGAGGAAGAACAGCGCCTAAGGGAACAAGCTGAGAAGGAACGGCTGCAGAAAGAAGCAGAGGAGAAAGAGAAACAGCGCCAAGAAGAAGAAGAGAGACAGCAACGTGAAGAGGAAGAGAGAAGACAAAAGGCTGCAGCTGAGGAAGAACAGCGCCTAAGGGAACAAGCTGAGAAGGAACGGCTGCAGAAAGAAGCAGAGGAGAAAGAGAAACAGCGCCAAGAAGAAGAAGAGAGACAGCAACGTGAAGAGGAAGAGAGAAGACAAAAGGCTGCAGCTGAGGAAGAACAGCGCCTGAAGGAACAAGCTGAGAAGGAACGGCTGCAGAAAGAAGCAGAGGAGAAAGAGAAACAGCGCCAAGAAGAAGAGAGGCAGCGGCGTGAAGAAGAAGAGGAAGAGCAGCGTAGACTACTGGAAGAGAAGATGCAAAAGGCCGATGCTGAGGAAAGGGAGCGCCTTAAGCTGCAGGCAGAGAGAGAACGCCTAGAGAGAGAAGCAAATGAGAAGGAACGACAACAGAAAGAAGCAGAGGAGAAAGAACGTTTGCAAAAGGAAGCAGAGGAACAGGAACGTCAGCGCCAACTCGAAGAGAAGCAGCGGCAGGAGGAAGAGCAGCGGAAACTAGAAGAGAAGCAGAGGCAAGAGGAAGAGCAACGGAAACTAGAAGAGAAGCAGCGGCAGGAAGAGGAACAGCGGAAGCTCGATGAAGAACAGAAAACAAAGGCTGCTAAGGAGGAACGTCTCAAGAAGGAGGCAGAAGCTGCTGAAGAAGAACGGAAAAGGCAAGAAGCTGAAGAACACCAGAAGAAGCTTGAAGAAGAGCGTATAGAGAAGGAGGCTGAAGAGAAACGAATCCAGGAGGAACAGCTTAAGCGCCAGGAAGAGTATGCTGCTCGAAGGAAACAAGAGGAAGAAGCTGAAGCAGAGAAACAGAAACAAGAGGAAGAAGCTGAAGCAGAGAAACGGAGACAAGAGGAAGAAGCTGAAGCAGAGAAACGGAGACAAGAAGAATTGAAGAAGAAGGAGCTGGAAGAAATGTCAGCACTTGCATCACCAGCTTTTGCAGCCGTAATTGAATCAGCTGCAACGTCTCAATCCTTCGACAGGGATTCCCTAAGTAGCAAACAGTCAATTGGTGCACAAGACTCTTTAAGTCGCAAGGACTCGGATGGGCTTCCTCGCAAGCCTGGACTTCTGGCAAGAAAACATGTAAGTGACACACACCTGTTGGTTTGCGTGCGTGCGTACCTGCGGACATGCGTTTGTTCAGTGTGTGTGTGTGTGTGGTGCTAGTGAAGCTAATATCAGATCCACTCTGATTTAGCCACCCACACTAGTAGCACGTATTACCTTCACTGGGGGCAGGGGTAATTGCAGTTGGATCCCAGGACGGATACCCTGATGCCGTCAATCCTTTTTCTGCACCTTGTCCTCACCCACTTACTGAGGTGTGGTGAGCCCATAAGTGGGATCATTTTCAAGTCCACCCAGAGTTTTGGGGATTTCAGGGGGTGTCGGCCGTTGGGCGGTTCAATAGCCAATTGAGTCATCTTTCCAAGATTCCTTTTGAGTCTCTCTCCCCTCTCCCGGGGAGACCCACGTGACCAGTTTTGGCAGTGTGCGACAAGTACAAGTACAAGTACAAGTGTGTGCAGTATACAGTCAACTTTGCGTATAACAACACTCGGCGGGGCATCAGAAAAGTGTCCTTATTCGCGAAGTGTCCTTATACCCGAAGTCTCATTATATGTATTACAGTTAGATGGGACTTTGCTCTGGGCATGGGAATTCTGTCGTTATTAGCGAATTGTCGTTATATCCACAGTGGTTATTAGCGAAGTTGAGTGTATGCATTTACCAGTACGGCACCTACTGTAGTGTCACCGGATCAGCAGCTCTATGCTACTGTACGGGCCGCTGTAGTAATTGCCTTTTCCAGAATTGTTTCATTCAAATGTGAACTTGAGCATGTTTTTTTGTCATTTTGCCTATATGTCTCAACTGTGTGTGGGTGTGCATATGTGCGTGCGCACATGTTTTTTTTGTGTGTGTGTGTGTGTGTGTGTGTGTGTGTGCGGATGTGAGTGTGCGGATGTGAGTGTGCGTACGTGCCTGCATACTTACGTCTCTCTGTGTATATCTCTCTGTGCATTTGTGTGTGTGTTTGTGTGTGTGTGTGTGTCTGTCCGTCTGTCCACCTGCCTGTCTGTCTGCCTGTTTGTATCGGTGTGTACCGGTGTGTGTGTAGTCTATCAGCAGTTTGACCAGTCAGCAGTCGGCTGTATCCACCTACAGCATAATGGGCAGCAAGAAGGTCATGGTGACTGGCAGCATGACGGTGGCATTCTCCTTCAAGGCTGGAAAACTCAACCTGAACATTGTTGGCTGCAAGGATCTCGCTAGTCCTAACTCCAACGGACAAATCACATCGTACGGTTTTTTAATTTATATTTGTTTTTACTATTACCAAGAGTACATAATCCCCAAGAGTGTGCAACTGCCTGCACAACCTCTATGCTGTGCTGCGACGGCAGAACTTCACATCACGTGACATGGTTCAAAAGGTTATGCTGGCAAACAGTGCAAAGTGACCACAAGAGAGTTGTACCCAAAGCTGGGCTGCATACAACCCTGTATCTATCATGCACAGAGTGCAAATGATGGGTACGGGTTCATCACGTGATGTGAAGTTCTGCCGTCGCAGACCCCATAGCTGGAGTTGCACACTCTTGGGTTATGTACTCTAGCTATTACATGTAGTCTATTATTTATATTTGTTTTTACTATTACATGTAGTCTATTACCACAGCCCAACTGGAAAACATGTGGAGAGCAAAATGAAACAAGGAAAAGGACAAACGCAGGGATGTAGAGACGACGTGCCGATGTGCTGGGAGCAACTCACCCGACCGGAGGTCTCGGCGTCAAGTGTACTGTACCGTGTACAGTCTGCATGAAATCGGAACAGTGGAATTGTTTGCTAGAGTTCGTCTGCAGCTTTGAATGTTCTAGCACTTGCCTTCATGTGGCATTGTTTATCGAGTACAGCTACACACATACAGTCACGCAGTGCACAGAAAGGCTCCGTGGTTGTATCTCAGAGTTTCACGCCCAACCGTGCATTCATCAGACTCGGTACACACATACATTTATACACACACGCACGCGCGCACGCACACACACACACACACATAGTTAGAAAAATACACACAAACACCGTGACGAAGGGCCGCAGAGCTGTAACTTCAGGTTTCATGCATTTGAGCGCTCTATTCGAGCTGCCTCCACCTGCCTTGTTTGTGTAATTGGAAAAATCGGTTTGGCGGCAGACTGTACTACGACACGGCGATGATGGTAAAATTGTCGGATTGAGCAAAACTGTGAAGTCTATGAATGGCTGATGAAATTACATCCTCCGTGCGGCAGAGGAAGTTATGCGACTCGGTGCATGTCTATGTGTTCTAAGGGCCCCCGTTTCTAGAGGCAAGTGGCCATTTCCTGCTCAAGTAGAAGGAACGTCTTCTTGCTCTGTCTTGCGAATAGGCGGTAGCCAGCCGAGTCGGTCGAGTCAGCATCAGTATACCTTGCCGGCAGCGGCTTTAACTAGTGCGGTCGAGTAGATTTGCGTTTGCGCCTTTGCGGTGAAGTCAGGGACTCTCTTTGCCTTCTCTGTTGACACTGATTTCTCACTCAGGAGAAGGAAACACCTAAAATTTCCCAGATAACATGGTTGTGTATACAGTTGAATGGTAAAGAATGCGAACATACCAGGCTAGGTTGGTTTGCCCTACAGTCTTAGGCGTATGAGATCCCTGTACACTACTGGCATGTACAGTGGTACCATTTCAATCCGGTACCATGTGTGCTGGAGAAGTTGCATTAGGGAGGGTGCTGGATTAACGAGTCTGTTAATGGTGCAGCGGGCATGAGTAGGACATTTCGGCTACTAAAAAGTATGCTGGTTTGTGCAAAGTGCTGGAGTAGAGATGGACGACTGTATCATGTTCTGTTGTCGTTGTTGTTGTTGTTGTTGTTGTTGTTGTTGTTGTTGTTGTTGTTGTTGTTGTTGTTGTTGTTGTTGTTGTTGTTGTTGTTGTTGTTGTTGTTGTCATTGGTGTTGTTGTCTTGTGCAGATATGTGAAGGCCTATCTACTTCCAGACAGCTCCAAGGAGAGCAAGAAGAAGACGAAGTCATTCCCGAAGTCACGCAGCCCAACGTTCAATGAAACAATATCTGTTAGTTCCTCACTAGTACACACAGTAGTGGCCAAAGAATTCCGACCCGTTAGTCAAAAGTAGCGGCGCGTTTTCATTTCAATTACATCATGTGAGGACCAAAACCCATCTGAGGGCCGCATGGGCCGCGTGAGCCGTGGCGCTGCTTTCGGCTCATGGGTCAGATGTCTTTGGCCACAGCTGTTCCTTCACTGGGTGGAATAGGGGAGTTGTTACTTACACCATCTTGTAGAGCATGTACATGTACGTAGATACCTGAACCTCCGTGAAGCCCGTGCCCTTCCCTCTTATGTAGGAACAATTGCGGTACCCGAATAGAATACTGGTGTGTTACATTTCTCTGACCCTGTTAGAGTCCGTCAGACTGACTTTCCGGTACATCCGCTGTCATTTTCTTTGTTGGATCACTGTTTTGGTGTTTGTGGTAGTGTGAGCTGCACCATGACGGGTAGGCTTCCAGCCTGCTAACATACAGTCGTGCTGGAGGAGAAATGCTCCGAACACAGCTTCATGCGATGCGCTTTGCTTCGCTCGGTGTTCTTATCTCTTCATGTTAGTTTGAGTGAGGCTTGCTCACAACGAGTCCGTGCTCGTTCGTCCATGGAAGCCGTGGTTTACATTCTGCTACTCCCTACTGGTCTGTGTAGTGTATATACCCTGTTGTTACTGCTGTGTGTTTGTGTATTTGTGTGTTGCAGTATAAGCTGGAGCAGAAGGCGCTTGATGGCATCACAGTGCACTTGTCAGTGTGGGACAAGAGTCGCGTCGGGCACAACACTTTCCTGGGAGAGATCCGCGTGCCCCTCTACTCGGTCGATCTCACCGACCCGACGCCAGCGGAATATGTCCTCTGTGAACCGGTGCGTCTCTTACTCCACTGTGCACTACTGGTTTTCTCTGCCCTTGAACTTGGTTGACTAACATGCAGTAATTAGGAATCATGTAACAGGAGTTCTTCGTCATTGGCTATCATCGCCATTGTTTCTGGAAAAGGCTTATTCGCCAGGAACTCAAAATTGCTCTTGTCTTTGTAGACCTTATTCTGGTACAGGCTGGGTGTTGCAGCACTGAGATCCAGATAGATGATGCATGATACTCACATGTTTTCCAATACAGTAACTCTGAATGTTGTGGATGCGTGACAGTAGCAGCAGGTGCTGCAGGGTGGGGCACCGTCGTACCGTTCCTCTGTTTGTTTGAACTACTTCAAGTAAACCTTTGTCAGGTTTGGCATTCTGCGTGATCTCTGAGCTATAACTACCGGGCACAATTCTTTGAAGTGGCTGTGTTCTCAGGCTGCTGGCAATACCAGCGAGTTACTCAGCATCTCTGCCATCATCTGGACCACAATGTCGGGGTAATTCAGCTTTCAACATTTTTTTGCTGTTTTTTTTGTCTTTCTGATGCACAGGCCGCAGCCGAAGAAGAGGGTTCTTCAGTCGGCGAGCTAGTTCTGTCATTGCGTGTAGTTGTGCCAGAGTCTTCTGGCAAGAAGAAGAGTAAATCTCCCAAGATCACTGTTGAAGCTCTGATTGAGTCTGCCGACAACCTTCCTGTGAAGAGCAAGAGCGGTTTCATCGATCCGTTCGTCAAGGGGTGAGTGTCCGGGGTGTGCTGGTCTCTGGTGTGAACTGGTCTCCGGTGTGAACTGGGCCCGGTTGATATTGCAATGCGCTTTCCTGCAAGTGCACTCATATCTTGCTTATCCAGGCGCCAGATTTGTTTATGCCTGTGACCATTATTATGATTGTGTTTATAAGCGTGCTGCTGGGTAGAACGCCAGTATCAGTTGTCTGATGATTGCCTGCCACGTAACAGTTACACTCATATTATGTATCTCGCTTATCTGGGCGGTCCGAGACCGGGTACTGCCCAAAACTTTGAAATATTCATAACTCTGAAATAATTTAATTCTCTGAATCACATACATTTCAATGGGGAAGGGCTACACATCTGGCATATGACGTCACTATTTCCACAAAAAATGGCAAAAAGAGTAGTAATATTTCCGCTAAAAACTCACCCACCGGGTGCTTGTTAGACCAAGGTGCTCGTAACTTCGAGGTCCAGATAAGACAGATACGAGTGCACACTTGCATGTGCCATATGTGCTAGTGAGTCCTAGTGTTCAGTTTGGTGAAAACTGTTGCTTAGTAACGAGCCTCAAGCATCTTGGGTTCTGTGCAGGGCTGCCATGTATGTGTGTGTACAGGTGAAATCTGGCTTCAGCAAGCACCTTATTTCAGCATCCGCCCGGCTTCAGTATCCGCCTGGTTTCAGCAATCACCTGGTCTGTAAGACCACTATTCTTTGCAACCAGAATGTGTAAACGTGTAGAATATACGAGGATCACCCTAGTTGTAGCGACCACCTGTACTAAGAGACCGCTATACGTCTAATCCCGTGGGTGGTTGCTGAAACTGAGGCCTCACCTGTGTGTGACTATCCCCGAAACTTTTCAACCAGTATTGTTTCTAAGCTCTTGCCACTTGTATCTCCTTTGCCCTCCAGCTATCTCCTTCCGGATACGAAGAACAAGCAGAAGACGCAAACGCTGTCTCGTAACAACACGCCCGTGTGGAAGCACACACTTGTATTTGAAGGAGCACTGAGCGCTGAGAGTGAGCTGGAGAATCGCAGCATGGAGCTGACAGTCTGGGACTTTGACAAACGCGGCAGTAACGACTTCCTTGGCGGGCTGCTGCTGGGTCTGGATGAGAAATGCTCGCCTGAAGAGTCACAGCACTGGCAAGACCTAATGGCTGCACCAGCTGGACAGTGGGTTGAACGACGACACTTCTTGCAGATGAACCAGCGGCGTTAGTAAGCTGAGTAGCGCCTGTAGAACGTAACACAATCATTGTGTGGGATACGTATACCATCGTCCCACCGTCGTCCATCTCGCGATGAGGCGTATAGCAAGGAACGGGATAGTCCGTAGTCGTTGCACTGCACTGCATCGTACTGGAGTAGCAAGTTTTCAGTGTGATTTGCCAGCGTGTGAATTTCTTTGCTGATCTGCCACTTGGCGCGCCGTTTGTACTGGTCTCACCGAGGGGCAGCATTTGTTTGTCCATTTTTGATACAGCTGCCCATTATCCTTAGTCTGTATTTATAGGATAGCCTGTAGATCACTGGTTGCTGCTCACGCACACTGTTATGTCGTCAGGTTCACACTGCAAGTGTGACTTCCTTTTCCGGAGCTCGCGACTCTTTTAGCAAGGCACCGATTTGCACGAAAGCAAAAAAAATCTTTTTTTCACCGCAGCACCGTAAATGTAACTTTCCGTGCTCTCGTTGGACCGCATAGTCGGGCAATGATTTGATTTTTAGGACTTTTCTGACCCTGTGTTTCCGTCATATTATGTTCTTGAGTTTACTTCCTCCACCCGTTTACTATGGCTGACACACCTGACCGGATACTTTCGAGATTATTTATATCTTGTTTTTTTCTGCATCTTTCCTAATCTTATCAGCGTTTTCTGCTGCTCAGGGCAATCCTAACCAGTGCCTGCCTACGCTGATTCCCCTCTCATATGGGTTTATTTTTAACTTTTTGATTTTGGCACGACCGTCTCTTTGAAGACTCCTAACCTTGACTTTGAACTAGCTAGGGCACATCGTTATCCTGCCCATCAGCGCCGTCTTGCTAGCATTCCTGCTCAAATCAGTATTGATTTTGTACCTGGCCTGGCCAGAGCAGATGAGCAATGTGCCCTGTATCTTGTGTAGTTGCCACGGTCTGGTCTTCTGAGAGGACAGAGAGGGAGGGAGAGAGAGAGAGAGAGAGAGTGTGTGTGTGTGTGTGCATGTGCGTGTGCGTGTGTGTGTGTGTGCATGTGTGTGTGTGTGTGTGTGTGTGTGTGTGTGTGTGTGTGTGTGTGTGTGTGTGTGTGTGTGTGTGCGCGTGTGCATGTGTGTGTGTGTGTGTGTGTGTGTGTGTGTGTGTGCGCGCGCGCGTGTGCGTGTGTGTGCGTGTGTGTGTGTGTGTGTGTGTGTGTGTGTGTGTGTGTGTGTGTGTGTGTGTGTATGCATGCGCGCATCATGACTGTCATCACGGTCATGGTTGCTCTCTACCATGGGGAGTATCGTGTACATGTACATGTAGTAAGGTACCGCTCCCTGAGTCTACAGCAGTACATAACTGGACACAATATCTTTATTCGTGCTCAACAAAATGTGAGAACATGAATGAACCATAGGAGCGCAACGCATTCAAATGGAGAAACGAAATAGCCAATAATCGGGTGTGTATGCCACTGCTCCCTGCAAGCCTGATCTGTACGGTACCATCAAGCGTATAATTATAAGCTCCCTAGGCCCTGGGAGCTAATTTTTACTCTTGCAGTCTTGGTACCATCAAGAGTACGACTCGTACATAACCCCCTGGGGGTTATGTACTCTTGGTACCATCAAGAGTACATAACCCCCCTGGGGGGTTATGTACTCTTGGTACCATCAAGAGTACATAACCCACTCTTGGTACCATGCATGACTGACAGTCGTAAAATGGTATTTCACGACTCCCTGCCAATGCCATCAAGAGTGCATAAAGCACCGGTATACCATGATGTTCGTCAGGTTGTCAGCCGGCAAAGTGACCACTTTTTTGTTTTATCCTCGAAAATGTTTTTTTTTTGACGGAGGTTATCGCGATTGAAATACGAAATTTCACATTTTTGTTTGAGTTGATCGAATGTGCAAACAGATGTGTATGGAATAATTAGTTTTCCGAGGGCTTGCGAGCCGTTTCCTTTATGCTGGTGTAGACAAGTTAGCCTTCGCAGCCATGGGTCGGCGAACAACGGGCAGCACGAAGGGCGGGCGCTTCATGAACCCGACAGACCAAGCTCGTAAGTTGCTGATTTTCCTTTGAGAAAACACGATATCTCTCGGAGCTAAGACCTCATTGGCATAAGACAGGCGGCGATCGGGGCTCCTGAACGTCACGTATCTGTTGCCTGGGTTCTGTGTGCGTGTTGTAACTGGCTTCTCAGCAGACAGACACAGAATTTCAAGTCCCAGCAGGAGTGCATAACTCCCTGGAATTCTGTCCTCTTAGTCACAGTGTAAATGAAGCGATAACGTTCTTTTTGGAATTTAAAACACGAGCAGTATAGGTAGATGGCAAGTATTCAGGTCAGGAATGTATGGGTAGAGTGGAGGCAAAATACAGTTACATGCATTGCTTTTTGGAAGGAGAACCAGCTCAAGGCATCGCAGGATTGTAACATTTTCACGGCCGAAATAAGATTATATTAAATTTGGCGATGCTGTCTACCACCCTGCTGATGATGTACATACAATAATTATTGTTTTGGCTAACAAAAGCCTCAACTGTCACATTGATCCGGGCTAACACTGCTCCATGCACCTGGAGGCTACTTCCACATACACGACCCTGTATTTGCAACAATGACGGATATCTCTGGCAGCACCTCCACCACCACCACCAACAACAACAAATAACCATAATATTAAAAATTTGCTTATTCAGAAATAACCCGTCATGTCGTTGAGAGCGAGTTGCCATTGTCTTCTTCGTCAGTAACTTCTCTGATACTTTGTGCAAGCGGCCCGTGCACCGCATACGCACACCATTGCTTGACGCTGGCAGGCTCATTCAGTATCACAATATTATACTTTGCATGTGTTTCCCACTTCTTGTACATTGTACCAGCCAGAGGCAAGCCCGGCGGACGGGACTGTGTCTGTGATGCAATGCGTTGAAGCTCATGCACACTTTAAAAGTATACATGTGCCGGTAAAAACAAAACAAAAACTACACGACAAACTCGGTAGGGAGGTCACCAGATTGGTGGGGATTGAACGCCCAAGTAAGACTAGCCTGGCTAAAGAAAGTCACAAAAAACAGATGATTGATCTGAGTGTCACAGCTTATCATTCTGAATAATAAACGTGCCCTGCTGCTTGTATTGGATTTGTATTTGTAGGCAAGGAGTCTCGTCGTCGGGAATTGAAAAAGGTAAATCGAAGCTATTGGTGTGGCTGGTGCTGATGCTGTTGCCTTTGAATTTGATGTCATTGTCATCGCCATAAGTTTTCAACTTTTCACGCGCTTGTAGCCTAATGCTATGTTTTTGTTTATTGCTGTGCAGAACAAGAAGCAGCGGCAGTTTGTTCGTGAGTCAGTGTTGCGGTCGAAAGATCCTTCAGAGGTTCTGGAGGAGTTGGAGCGTCTGGAGCAACTTGGTGAGCTTGGTCTTGCTTCTTGGCTAATGTGTTCATGTCTCACTGTGTACGCCCCGGTGATTGTGGTGACCTCTTGATTTTACGAAGTCCTACAGCTATCCCCTTCCCATTGGTGAACTGCTCTGTTGAACAACTGTCTGCAAGGAAGAATGTGTGTGTGTGTGCGTGCGCGTGCGTGCGTGTGTATGCATGCGTATTCGCGGACATTTATGCGTGTGCTCGTGGGTATGGGTATGGGACTATGGGTGTGCGTGGGTGTGTTTGCATGTGGTTGTGAGTGTGTGGTTCTTGTGAGTTAGCCCAAATTTTTGAAGCACTTTGTGATTTGTAAATTGATTGCATGCAGAGTTACAAGCTGGCCCGCTCGCTTTACCCAATGAAACATCCATCAAGGAGAAGAAAAAGCGACTCGAGGAAACAATAGAGCGCATGCTTGCCTTCTATGTAAGTATTTGCCAAGCGTACCGTGTATATGCCCGTTCTTTTATGCTGGGCTTGAGTGTCTAACGCTGACGATAGGGGGGAATTCCATCATACGATGGTTTTTCTCTACCGCCCTGTTTACTTTCATTTGTTCGGCAGTGCGCTGCACTCTCAGTCCGTTGAGAGTGATGTCACCGTGCTCTGTGGAGATGCGAACCCTCTGCTGGTATTCTTGCGCCACCCTGCTTCGGTATTAGTACCCATCATGTATTGTTAGTGCATGTCGTATGACGTCATGTGTTCTGTGTACTGCGCTCTCTTCCCCTACATTTGCAGCACAAGTCTTTGCCAGAGAAATATCCAGAGCTGAAAAAGTGAGTGGACTCCTATCCACTGTATGGGGCTTGGTGCACTACCATGGCTGTATTGTCACTACTGCACAGCTTTCTTCAATTCTTCCATGCATACGCTAATCACGACAAATACTTGAAAGTGCTTGCTATGCTCCCACCAGTGGTGACTGCACACTTGATGTACATGCATGCCTGGCTTGCCTAGCAGTGTTTTCGTGTCCGCTGTTCTTGCAGGTCACTGGCGGAAAGCCAAGAGCGGCGGCAGGCGGTCAGGGACAGCTTTGGTAAGACTCGAGTGCACAGGCCTCAAGTTTTAACTTTTTGTGCGTGTGTGTGTGCGTGCATGCGCGTTCGTACGTTCATGCACGCATAATTCTGTGCTGTATCAGCCTGTATGCATGTTAACTTTCTCGGTGAGAGGTAGCCATATAGTGGAGGTGCATGACGGCACCGTCTTATTTGCATGTATGGTGAGGGATGTCAGTGATGGGCAAAGATGTTTAAGGCGTTGCACTGGGAGAGGAAAGAATTGCATTGCTTGCCTGTTGCCGTAGCCGTAGCCCAATTGTAGCTTATCACCTCGAGTGGGCTTTAGAACTTAAATTCCACCAATACAGTCATGTACCGGGTTAGGAATGCACATGCCAACACTCAAGCGTCCGTCTAGTACTTGTTTGGATACTAAAACAAGTCTATTATTGCCTAGGTGTGCTGGTGACCTGGTGTGCTGGGTTGTGTGGCTGTCAGCGCTGTCCACCATACCTAGCGGATAGTTGTGTTGTCATTGATCACTAGTGCACATGTACTGATGACTACCGGTATGTCTCTGTGTGGCTTCTCTGCCTTCTGCTCTGCAGCGCAAGCTGAACTTCAGGTGAGTCTGCTGCAAGTGAACATTCGGTGTATGAAGCGAACATGTTTCTGGTACTTTTATCGCTCATCAGCCATTGCTGCGTTCCTTTGCATCTAAAAGTTCTCCTAGAATTCCCACTGTTCACTCGATCTCTTTTAGGCTCTGTACATGTGTTCTAGTCAGGGAGGCCCGCCGGAACCAGTCCGGTTGGTCAGGTTATTACCGGACCAACTAACTATTTTTTGGCCACCAACACAGACTAAGTGGTCATGTGTAGATCTACCCACTAACTATATCATACACAAAGTATAGACTTAGAGGGCCATGATACTACCGGACCAATCAAAAACTGCTTCCGGCGGTCCGGTCAGGCCTCTGCTCCCATTGACTGACTGCCGTGGGATGTAGTTGACTCTATGCTTTTTCACACACGCATGTGTGTGTGTTGGTGTGTGTTGGTGTGTGTGTGTTGGTGTGTGTTGGTGTGTGTGTGTGTGTGTGTGTGTGTGTGTGTGTGTGTGTGTGTGTGTGTGTGTGTGTGTGTTGGTGTGTGTTGGTGTGTGTGTGTGTGTGTGTGTGTGTGTGTGTGTGTGTGTGTGTGTGTGTGTGTGTGTGTGTGTGTGTGTGTGTGTGTTGGTGTGTGTTGGTGTGTGTTGGTGTGTGTTGGTGTGTGTTGGTGTGTGTTGGTGTGTGTGTGTGTGTGTGTGTGTGTTGGTGTGTGTTGGTGTGTGTTGGTGTTGGTGTGTGTGTGTGTGTGTGTGTGTGTGTGTGTTGGTGTGTGTTGGTGTGTGTTGGTGTGTGTTGGTGTGTGTTGGTGTGTGTGTGTGTGTGTGTGTGTGTGTGTTGGTGTGTGTTGGTATGTGTTGGTGTGTGTGTGTGTGTGTGTGTGTGTGTGTGTGTGTGTGTGTGTGTGTGTGTGTGTGTGTGTGTGTGTGTGTGTGTGTGTGTGTGTGTGCGTACATGCGTGTGTGTGTGTGTATGTGTTTATGTGTCTTTCTCTGCACGCTGTTCTGTTCTTGCGATGCTTGGCTGCACACCTGTGTGCATTGCAACTGGAAATCACTTGCTACACCTACTGCAGAAGAATGCTGGTAAGTGCCTTCTGCATGCTGCTCTTGTACTGTGTAAGCCTGTCATGCTAACTTACTTGCAGTGATGTACCATACTAGGCTGGCTTCCAGTGGGCTTCTGTTTGAGGTTTAAGACTGCATGTTCCTTGTACATTGCACTAGTATATTTGCTCCCAGTGTTTGAGATTATCTTGAGCAGATTGCTGCTAGTACAGGTAGAAGTACTTTTTGCGCCTGGGCTTTTGTTTGCCACTGCCTCCACGTGTGTAGAACCAACTCTTGGTGTTGACCGTACCGGTATTGCTTGTGGGTTTGTCGTACGGTGCAGTGTTGCCGCTTAGCCAAGCATTGCTCGTGTTCATGACACATGTACATGACTGTATGTGACAAGTCAGCGGTGACTGGTGTGCAATGGTGTCATGTCACTCTTTGTAGCACTCACTCCGGAGATGACGTCTTTTGAACTGACACTGTGAACTTATGTGACTGTGTCCGGTGTGTGTGTGTGTGTGTGTGTGTGTATCTTGTGTCTGTCGTGTTCTCTTGCCAGACCCCACCAATATACCACTGCCAAGCGGCGGGCCTCTTCTGCTGCCCAGTGAAATCCCACTGCCAGGACAGGAGGGAGCAAGGTTAGTGTTTGAAGTTTTGCACCCTGATACACTATATCTAAAGATGAGGGTCCTGGGTCTTGGTTTGTTGAATGTATTGACATACAGTTGCGCTCGGTGAAATCCGACCCGAAGTGCAAAACTGGTGCCCTGCACCACCAGTTCTGATTACATCACTGTACTTGTACATGTGTACAGCCGCATTTGTACTTCTGCCAGGCCGTCAAGGGCTGTGCAACTTGAGGGCGCCGAATATGCACTCTGGGTCGAATTTCACCAAGCACAACTGTACATATACAATCAAGAGTACATAACCCCCCAGAGTGTGCAACGCCTGATCCAGCTCTGCATAGGGTCTTGGTCGAGCGGAATCGGATCTTTGCGTCATAATACCGTACACATCTGAGGGGAACCCGGGGAGTCGCGGGTACTCTTGGATCAAAAACAATGGTGCCCTGCCTCGAGACCGGCCTTGCGCTGGTGTGAAGTGTACGCATGACATCAGAAGATCCGATTCCGCTCGACCAAGACCCTACACAGAGCTGGATCGGCGTTGCACACTCTGGGGGGTTATGTACTCTTGATACAATGTACTACAATACATGTGGTGGTGCATGTCATGGTCAGCAGCCTAATCTCTTCCTCCCCCCCCCCCCCCCCTCCCCCTCCCCCTCTCTCTCTCTCTCTCTCTCTATCTCTCTTTGTGTTGGGTTACTTGTGCAGACTTGCGGAATTAGCTGCAGCAGGTGGTTCTTCCACGTACCGAGTCCCTGAGCTACCCGGTCCCCCGCCCGGTCCACCCCCGGGGCCACCACCAACAAATGCCGAGAGAATTCCCCACTGGCTCCCTCCACCTGGCTTTGAAGTGGCGCCATGGGATGCCAATGCGATGGACGGAGAAGAAGACCAGGGCGTGGATTATGAGGCACCGTCACCGCTCCCAGAAGGGGAACCTCCTCTTCGACCACCCGGCACAGAACCCTTCGAGCCTCTGACTGCAACTGACCCTGCAGAAACTCAGAAGAGGAGAAAGAAGAAAAAGAAGAAGAAGATACCAGGCGATGCAGCAGCAGCGGCACAGCAGCAGCAGCAAAGTGAAAACCAGCCCACTGGTTTACAAGCCACGCTGCTCCGGCTTGCTGGCCAGAGTGCTGCACCGGCTGGTTCGAACGCACCTGCAGGTGGTGAGGAGAGAATGTCAGATGATTCAAGTGGTAGTGATGACGATGAGGAAGACGGTAGTGACAGCGGCTCAGATTTATCTGGTGAATCAGAATACGAGCCAGACAGTGATTATGAGGAAGCTGCGGGAGGTGAGAAGACAACTGCTGGTGGTGAAAATGGCCAGGAAAATGGCGGTCGTCAGCCGCAATCAGTACGTCCACCAGGTATGCCGCCGTTCGCACCACCCGGTCCACCCCCGGGACGGCCACCAGGGCCGCCGAGGGGCTTGCCCCCCGGGCCTCCTCCGGGCTTGCCCCCGCACATGCGTCCTCCGCCCGGTCCGCCGCCGGGACTGCCGCCGCACATTCACGCGCCAATGCCGCCGCGCATGCCAGGCGGCATGCGTCCGCCACCTCCGCCTCGCATGCCTCCGCCGCCTCCTGGCATGCCACCGCCTCGCTTACCGCCCCCGCCGCGTGGCCCCGTACCACCCATGGGCATGCCCATGCCCCCGCCGCCAATGCCTGGTGTAGCTGCCACTATATCAGCGCCAGCCAAGGTGGCGGCCGGTGCTACCATCTCGGCACCTGCGCAGCTCACGGGCGATGACAAGGCAGCCGAAGCATCCGGTCCTGTCATTCGCTCAGCGCCGCAGATCAAGAGCTTCGGCAGCTCAACCCAATTCGTTCCATCTGCTCTGCGTGCGCGTATGGGTGCACCCGGGAAGAAATCCGACGCAAATGCTACAGCGGCCGTGGCCTCGGAAGCACCCGAGCATCCTTCTGTCAGTACTCAGACGAAGAAGGCAGTGTCATCAGCTGCAGCAAAGGATGATGCGTACGATCAGTTTATGAATGAGATGCAAGGACTTCTGTAACCAGAGGGTGCCGGTGCCATCTCTGCTCGGAATGTGTTTTGCCTGGAACTACGTTGTACATAGTTTGTGTTGGGATGAGCCAGTGAGCGTGTGGTGATGTGTTGTGCATGGACTTGCACACACGTGTGTGTGTGTGTGTGTGTGTGTGTGTTCCTGTATCCGTTCGTTTGCCGATTGTACATAGCACAGAATTTCGTCATGCTGTCTCTACTATCTATGCTGAGCTGTATGTACATTGCCGTGTGTGCGTGTGTGTGTGTGGGTGCGTGTGTGTGCGTGCATGCATTTGTGTGTGATGGATATGTTTAGCTATTCCATGGGCTGTTGAAATACACATACCCACTTTTTTGTGTTCGTTATCAGTCCCACATCAGAGCACACTTAGTTTTACAATTTTTTTAGTAAAATTATATAAAATATGATGAGGCTGTTTGAAGTGATTCATGGACTAGTATCTAAGCTGGTCTTGTCAAGTGACTATGAGAAAGCTGGCAGGAAACACAGCGCACATGTTGAGTAGACAGTATGCCAGTGGAGTGTGTACGCTTCAAGTCTTCACTTCAAGTCTCATACTCGGTGTGGTCATGCGCGCGCGCGCGCGTGTGTGTGTGTGTGTATGAATGGAGTTAGCAGCCACTAAACACACAGCCATGAGACAATATTCTGCGTCCAGCGCCATCAGTTGAATATTGCGGAATGGAGAGTAAGGGGGGCTAAGTATAGTTTTGAGCAGTTTGTTTCATGAGCTACTGCTGGCTATGTAGCTGCTACTTTTGCCAGCTGTAGCATAATGTTTAGTCAATGTCCAGGGCGTTCTATGCTCAAGGCGAACACAATACTTGTTAGGACTGGCTTCCTGCAAGTGGTGCATACTGGCTGCTCAGTCTTGCTTCGAGCAGGCCTGTGGGTTTGCTTGACGACACAAGCAGTACTGACATCTACTGCTGTGTCAGTCTACAGGGTCTGGGTGATGAGAGACTGCACTGTGGTGTCAGTCTACAGGGTATGAGTGATGACAGGGCTCACTGACATCCACTGCTGCATTCGTCTACAAGGTCTGGATGACGAGAGACTGCATTGCCATGTTGGTCTATAGGGTGTGGGTGACGACAAGACTGCACAGCTGTGCCGGTAGTCTATAGGGTCTGTGTGATGAGAGGGCTCATGTCCAGATCCTTCAGAGCGGCTTCCTCCTCCACCGTATCCGGCTCGAATTCTCCTTTGCTGTAGTCATCGCCCTCATTCATCTGATAGTAGTCATTGTATGCATCTACTGGATCAATCTGGAAGTTAATGATGCCAGTTGCCAAGTGCTTCATGTCGATATAGGCCCGGCACAGACGTCCCCACTCATCCAGAGTGACTTCCTGCGGGCGAAGATTGTCAGGCACGTCTGCTCTCTGGAAGAACTCGGCCATTATCATCTTGTCATAGCGGAACATTTGTCTGTCAACATCAAAGACGAGCAACACAACGCAAGTTCACAGAATGAGTGCAAAGCCCGACAAAAGACTGCCACAGCCATGGTCAAATTAAGGTACGGTTGTATGTGGAGCTGGTGCCCTAATTGAAGAGAAGTTGCCCCCCCCCCCCCCTTGCAAAGTACAAACCTCGTTGTTGTCTGACAATCGGCCGAATAGCCATGGAACAACTAAAATTATAGCTTTGTTCCATTGCAAACTTGTGTAGAGTACAAAACATCGACATTTCTGCTTACATACACAGTACGTTTGATTCAAATGTGTTTTACCAAGAGTACATAACCAAGAGTGTGCAACTGCCTGCACAACCTCTATGCTGTGCTGCGACGGCAGAACTTCACATCACGTGACATGGTTCAAAAGGTTATGCTGGCAAACAGTGCAAAGTGACCACAAGAGAGTTGTACCCAAAGCTGGGCTGCGTACAACCCAGTATCTATCATGCACTAGAGTGCACGGGTTCATCACGTGATGTGAAGTTCTGCCGTCGCAGACCCCATAGCTGGAGTTGCACACTCTTGTTTATCTACTCTTGGTTTTACTAAACACTACCCTTGTAAATGACAAAGGGAGTACTGTATAAGCAGAAATATTCGTCTGGAATTTAATTTCGTCTTTTTCGTCCAAGGAGTTTTGGACTAAATTAAATGCCGGACTAATGTCGATTTGTCCAGCTTTTCAATACACTCTTATGATACATGGACGAAATGTTCAACCGGACGAACTCCCTTTCTTTGGAGTTGGACGAAATTATTGACCAAAATTTTTTTCTGCCTGTACAGTACCTGACTGTTACTCCACGCTAGAGGTCAGATTTACAGTAACCGTCCAGCTCATTCAGTGGCAATGTAATTAGTGTACGAGGAAGGTGAAGATTGACCGGACGCTACAGGCATAACAGAACACAACTTCATACTGAGCAGTTTTGACAAGGAGAATCTGCAACCTACCGTGCTGCCTTGCGGATTAAAGCACGGCGATAGGAGAATAGCACCCGTACTATCATCTCCAGGTCATCAAACGGTACATCTAGTCGCGGTGTGACTAGCGGGACGAACTTGAGCACCGCTGCATCGACCTACATGTACATACACACAGAGCCAGTGAACAAGGTATAGACAATGGTCACCATACTAGTATCGCCCTCTCTGCAAGATATTCCAAGACTGCACTTTGTGCGTGTTTTTTTTCACCCCTGCACAATGACACACATACACATCACGAAACATGAATTTATACTTCAAGTGCATGTATCATAAGTTCATAACACTCAGGAAAAATAGGGACAAAAAGGTGTAACAACAACAACAACAACAACAACAACAACAACAACAGCAACAGCCAGCAAGCACTGGTGAGTACTTACCTTTGGCGCAGGCACGAAAGCCGAGCCAGGGATGAGGAAGTGATCAACAATGGACGTGTATGTCTGCACCATCACGGAGAGACGGCTGCGCTGTGCATGACAAACGGGCGCCATCATACGTTCAGCGACCTCCTTCTGGAACGACAGCACCATGTGCGCACGGCCGTAATGATATAGTCCGTCGCGGTTGGCGATGTCACGCATCAGGCGAATAATCAGCGGCGTTGAGATGTTGAACGGTAAGTTGCTGATGAGACAGGTGTTTGGCCGTGCTGCACAGTCCACATGCAAACAACACAGCATTGTTGTACACGCACAACACTACTATCAGACGCAATCACACGAGTGAAGCTGTTTTCACCATTGCGTACATGCCCTATCTACCCTGTAGCATATGTCAGACATTTTAAGCAGTGCTAAAGCGGAATACACACAATACAGGGGCTCGTATTACATATATTAGGGGTTCCATAGGGGCATAGGGGTTCTTTGGTGAATTATTCCCACTTCAAGGTAACCGGCATTCCCTCTAGCTGCTTACCTTCCCATGGCAAAGGCTTGGCAACACCGGTGAATGCTGTCTCCATTTTGTACTTGAGCACATCGCCCCACACAATGCGAACTTCGCCGGACTTGCGTAAACTTCGCAGCATCTGAAGCAACACAAGCAGCAAAGACTCCACAGAGTCACATGTGTGCATTCACGACCCGGACACTACACAGCAATCACCAGGCTAGATTACAGGCACTTGCCTACAGTACTGTACAAGCTGTCACCGGCTAAAAGGGAGCGCAGGGATTCACTGTACTTGTGATGCTAGTGTCACCAGCGGAGCTTCACAAAGCAGAGACCGTCTACTAGTATTCAATCTCTACTCTGTTTTTTATTATCTCGCATCAAACATCCCCTATGACAGGTACATTCGCAGCTTTACACACCTTCATGGCCGGCAGGAAGCGACTGTCCTTTTCGACAACTACAAGTCTTGCCGGGTTCCTCATCAAGATAGAGCGGGTAAGACTCCCGGGGCCAGGTCCGACTTCGCACACAAAGCAGTTCTCCACAAACGGGTCGGCCAGGCGTACAAATTTCTCTGCAAAACGAAAAAATGAACAGGAATACAGCACTACTGGCATGAAGCATCGCAGTACATTGAACAAAAACTACTTCAGTACCACAATGCCAGTGTGGTAGCAGTGTGGAACAGTATGGTCCATAGTATGGTGCCTGCATGACACCGTATTAGCCGTAGTACAACGGACAGTCCGGGGCTGTTCACGATTGTTTGTTGTTATATTATTGTCCGCAAACTCCAACGCCGCCACTTACACATTTATGAAACCTCACTCCAATACTCCAATAACGGTCTTTTCACTCTGATGATGGGCCAGGCCCGAGAATTTGCTGGAACATAAATAATTTGATTCACAGTGAAGAGATGGTACTGCAGTGAGTGTTGGAGTGAGGTTTCATAAAATTTAATGTTTTATTGTTTTTTCAAAACGAAAATATTTAGGAAAGTACTGATCGTGTTTTAGAAAGATAATGCCACCGATCTACCACGGCAGTGGCCCAATTTAAATCTATGTGACCTCGAGTAAGTTTTTTCGAGATTTTCATGAAATGTGAGCTGAACATTCTTACCAGCCACGTTGCAGTCTAGCAGAAAGTTCTGCGCCAGCTTTCTCTTTGCGGATAGGCCATAAATCCTCACTATCTCCCCCGGGGAGGGCATGGGTGGTAACCGCATGATTGCTACCCAGATGTAAAGGCCATTCAAACACTGCACCTACGAAACTGAAGAGTGAGGTCAAAGAACACGAAATGTTAAAGTCAAAACGAGAAACAGAAAATGAGCACTCCTTTCTATGATTCATCACGTGCACTTTTTGTACTTGCACGTGCTGCTTTTTGAAGTCGAAAAAGTACCGGTCCCACTACATACTGGTGCAGGCACTAGCCCTACGCGTGTGCAAGCTTTTATTTCAACAAAAGTGTCAACAGGCTAGGCTAGGCAGGCCGGGGCGAAATGCCACAGTCTTGCCGACAAGAAGCAGTTGAGAGAGATCGAAAGAAAAGGCTTACCTGAGTAGGTGGTCAAGTGGACCTGGAGGATGTGAATGCTTTCGGACGAGTTTCGCTTCCACAAGTACCTTGAAAAAAGAAAAAAAAGTCTTTGTGAGACTGCACGCACATCCGCATGCCACCAGGGAGCAGTACTACTACTCCCTGCATGCGACAGTGTACCGGCTGTTGAGAAGCACAGCACTACCGGCACTAGCGGTAAGTGTTGTTTTGTTGTTCCGAGCCAATCAGTCCATTTGATTTCAAACTCAATTTTGGAGTCAAAGCTATTTTTATGAGAATTTGATTGTGCTTTGTTTGAAGAAAAGGCACCATGTCGTTATTTCGGGCAGTCCGGACCCCACTCTCTACTTCCTCTCTTTTATGTCAAGGTCTCCGGAGTGTGACTGGCTTTGGCGCAGGAGATGCTGCCGACCATAAAGTCGTGCCAGTTGAGGAAGCACGAAGGTTTGCAGAGGAATGCCTCAAGTCGGTGGGGGCAAAGGAAACTCACGCGAGCCAGATGGCGGAGTTGCTGGTGTCCGCGGATTCCAGAGGGCATTACAGCCACGGCATGAACCGACTTGGTAAATGTTTTCGTTTGATTGCGGTAGAGTCACGATTTGAAAACATTTGACATTCAATCGAAAGTGAAATGAAAATTGTCTCCGAAACTGTCAAATTTGATTTTGCTTTTGTCTGTGGTAACACAACACACGTGGCATTACCTGTTCATGGAGATGGCGTCATATTCTAGTGTAATGATAATGAAAACATGCATGCTGTGAAGTCAGACTCTACCGCAGGAATTATGTAGTGCAGCCCTGTTTCATATTCAGTGGTCTAATGTTGGGGCCACTCAAGATGCATTTGCTGCCACACATCTCATGAAAGTGCGCACTGTCTGGGAATATTTGAGCCTGAAATGGTGCATCGACAATGCTCTAGGGCTTGGAGCAGTGCAAGACTATGTCATACTACAGACTATGTAATACTACAGTAGGAGTAAAGCTTCATTTACCTGGGTCCAAACTGGGGATGATTCGAAGATATTTGGATAACTGGCATGAGACCATCAGTACTGTAGTTGGAATTACCGTATTATCTCCATTATAAGCCCAGAGCTTATATTTTTTCAACCAGTCCAGACCCCGGGCTTATATTAGAGACTGGCCTTCTACAAGAGACTGGGCTTATAATTTTTCAACCACCTGGTACATGTACTAGTACATTGCCTATTTAATATAATATTTTGCATTGTATCAGTAGCACAAAGTTTCCCAGCAGGTACCGGGACTGCAGTTTTGTGCTTCCTGGTACACTGAGTGAGTCTGAATTTTAGATCTCAGGGATCACAGACTTTACCACAGCAATCAGCATGTGGGTATGTGACACTTTGTGATGTCAAACATGCATGGACATGATCCATACAGGTCTCCAATACAAACCCTGTGCTTATATTGGAGACTGCGCTTGTATATCTTCGAAGCCCTCTTGGAGTGCGCCTATAATAGAGACTGGGTTTCTACAAGAGACTGCGCTTGTAATAGAGATAATACGGTATTCAATTCAATGGAGATTTACGTGTAGGAAGGCAAATCAGCACACATAGCTCAGCAGCCACTGGTAAATCCAATGAGGATTTCGCACCATTGCCCATATTTCCCTGATTGTAAGTCACACTCAATAATTATGCGTCACACCCCCATTTTCAAGTCTGAGCCATAATTATATGATATTGATATTCACATAATTATTAAAGTAGGAAGTCAAGCTGGATTGTGAGTCGCACCTCCTTCTTTTCCTTTGAAGTAACTAGTGTAAAAAGGTGCGGCTGATATTCAGGGAAATGCTGTAATCGGCACATTGGTGAAATGAGCAGCAGCAGCAGGTCCTTTTATCCAGCTTTCTAGGCAGTCAAGGCGGTGATGAACGGCGCCTAAGAGCTGGGTTTGATCATACTCATATCACCAATGTGACCATTGTCTAGAGTAATGGTGTGGAAGTCCTCATTGGATTTCCAGTGACTTCTGTACTACGTGTGCTAACTATTCATTTCTCAACGTGGCAAGTTTCTGAACATGGATGGGTAGATACTAGATATGTACATGTAAGATTCACACCAAATCTGTATGCCTCCCTCCAGACCAAGTACTAGTATGGTCCATTTTGTGCAGATCCTCCTAATCTTTGCCTAGAAGTGTCGAGCAGAGGCTGCATACTGAAATCCGAACACCTCTATTCCTGTAATGCTGTGTGTGTGTGTGTGTGTGTGTGTGTGTGTGTGTGTGTGTGTGTGTGCGTTCGGCCGCTATAGAAATGTATGTACGCGACATCCAACAGGGCTCGACGAGGGTGGATGCTGAGCCAGAATTGGAGCGCTCCACGTCATCCACGGCGCTCGTAAACGGCAACCAGTGTCTCGGTGCGGTGAGTCACGCCCTTGCCCAATGATCAAGCTCTTTTCCCAGCTGAAGCAGTCCTGTTTTTACAAACAGTTTAGCACAGCACATGTGCCTGTTGGTCATGTGTTTCTCTTTTTTCTTTTCTCATTTGTGTGAACTAAGTTTTTGCTGAACCCACTCACCACTGTAACATATCGTGGCTTTGTTGTGTTGTGACTGGTGCTTGCAGACTGTTGGCCAGTTTAGCATGGACTTGGCTATTCAGAAGGCCAAAGAGTCCGGTGTCGGCTGGGTCGCTGCCCATGGTGAGAACCTGTAGCATACCTATCAGTGAATTTGTCTAGTATGTTCTAGAACCGGATGGGATCCGCTGGTGCAAAAGACCAGCCTTGTAGCAAGAACCCGAAGTCAATGTTGCAGCCAGGTTTTGTGACGATAAAGTAAAAACTGCTCCAGCTGTTCTGGCCCCCGAGTCTGGAGCAAGCTGAACATACATTGTATTTTGGACCACCCAGAACAGGTGCGGTCCCAATCAAACATTCTGTTCTGGAGGATCTTGTTCTAGGTTGTACCAGTCGTACACACCCTTAGACAACGTATTGCTGTTAGGATATGATTGATTTCAGTACAAGTACAAGTAGTCATGTGGTGGTGTTTGTTGCCATCCTGCATCACTACTGCTAACAGTTATACATGTGTGGATACCTATACTCTGCACAAGAGCTTTTTTTCTCCCACCATTCTCTCTCTCCCTCCCTCCCTCTCTCTCTCTGTCTCTGTCTCTCTTTCTCTCTCCCTCCCTCCCTCCCTCCCTCTCTTTCTCTCTCTCTCTCTCTCTCTCTCTCTCTCTCTCTCTCTCTCTCTCTCTCTCCCTCTATCTCTCTCTCTCTCTCTCTCTCTCTCTCTCTCTCTCTCTCTCTCTCTCTCTCTCTCTCTATGGCACTGTTGATCGGGCCAGGGAGGATAGCTGATCAAGCTGCATCACTGGCATTCTTGGCGTGAGACAAAAGGAATTCAACTGGTACAAATGTGCCATGATCATCTGGATACGTTGTACGGGAAAGCCGGAGAGAAGCTGACTTGTCAGTGCACCATTGTCGCATTTTCAGACAGATACAGTATCACTGTATAGCTAAGAACAACATGGCTAGATCCAGCAGCACTGGCCGATCCAGCCAACCCATAGCTTTACTTGTAAAGACTAAAGGGTTTCCCAAAAACGTACTGTATTTTTGGCAATGGAACACGGCTCTGAACTCTAAAGAAATGCCATCTCTTTGAGTGGGGCTCAGAGGATAGCTATTCTATATTCTCCAGTCGATTGCAAAATGTATTGTCTTGTCCATTGTTTTTTCTCCCAGGCTCAAACCACTATGGTATTGCTGGTTGGTACGCTCTCCGCGCTTGTGACCAAGGGCTAATGGTATGTCCTTTTAATAGGCTTTTATAATCAGCTGCTGCAGTGTCTATCGTCAGTTAAGTGTTGCCTTGAATCGATCGGCATCCTGGGCAAAAGTTAACTCTAGTGCCAATACATGTACATGTACAGTGTCAGCAGTAGGGGCCTGGCGAGTAGATGAGAATGAAGACTTGGACTTCTGCTGACTCCGGAATGGTGACCTCGTGTGAATCGGCTTTCCACCAGTTCATATCGCATAATTATAATACTATGTACATGTACCATGTCAATCATATAGGCACAAGTGATTAATTGTACAATATCCGTTCCTCTTCTGAAATCACTGAAATGCAATTTTCTCCCTACCAGCATCTCCCTTATAATTATTTGACAGTATATCGTACGTTATATCTTTCCTCAGCTTTCATAGGGACATTCTGTGGGACTATCTGTAGGAGTATTTTCTTCAGACAGGTTGTGCCTGTGGGTGCCGTGCCTCTAGAAATGCAAGTGAGTGCATGTTACTGTGTCTGTATGGTTCGTCTCCAGGGTCTCTCTTTTACAAACACTTCGCCATTGCAAGTACCCACGCGCGGCCGTGAAGTAAGTAGCTCTCCATAATTGTCCATTGCTAGTGTTCTGATGCTGTTGTTAAACCCTACTTGTAAGCGCACTTGTTTCATCTAACATGCGATCCTTTGCACATATGCCCCATTATCAATGCCCTAGGCGAAGAAACAGATTAGTCTGCCGTTTATTTTCTTATTGAACATTAGTACTTCAAGAAGTAAAGACATCTCAGACCGGGCACTTGGGTTTTAGAGTCTTTGAAGCAGTTTCTGTTGGCTGTTGACCAGACAGTCTTCTCCCATATAGATGTGTGTAGTATACTATGAGTACCATTGTAGTATTTTCCATGGAGAAAAGACACAATTTTACTTCGATGTATTTCAAAGACTTTGTCTCGAATCCACCATGCAGCGTATACCCTGAACATGCATTTCAGTACAGACGAATGCGAACTTGAACTTCTCCAAGAGGGATTGCTACTTGTACACTGGTGCAGTGAATGCTCCGGAGAATGCAGTATATTGACGCCCTGCGTTCCTTGTTGCCTAGCTGTTGTATTTCTCTTCTCGCAGCATGTGCATGACACTGTACGCTTGCCAATGCTGGCGCGGCGTTGTCGATTCCAACCAGGTGTGTTTGTTGTTGCATTGTCGTCTTTTCCCTAATCTACTTCTGCCAGTGTGTGCTTGGAACGAATCCCATTGCTTTGGCTGCACCCGGAAACAATGGCGACAGCTTCGTCCTGGACATGGCAACAAGTACAACAGCCATCGGCAAGGTCAGATTGAGCCCTTTTTTTTAGAAGAACCCTCACGACATATGCTGTATAGTGAGTGGCTGTGCTTCTTTGGGTTTATTTTCCTTTCTGTACTTGGAGGCAATGTTTGTTGTTGTACATGTGTATTCGGTGTCACTGCCACTATCTAGGTGGAGCTGTGTAAACGCAAAGACAGCAAGATCCCGAATGGCTGGGGTGTGGCGGAAAATGGGCAGGTGAGTCATGTGGTAGTGCATTTGTGTAGATGGTGAAATGGACCAAACAAGATCGAAACAGCTAGCTGACCGGAAATTGAGTAGTACTAGTACTATCTACACATGTGTCTGTGTAAAAAAAAAAGAAGATTCGCAGTTCGCGTGAGACTCGGCTGGGGACCGAATTTTCCGTATTCGCTGGGACGCCACCACCCTCAAAGATCAAGGCGCAGATGCAGCGCCTAAAGCGGTGGGAGGTGAGTAGATCAGACCCATCACCAAAGTGGTCAAAGACCGAAAATCCTATTCGCTGCATCCATGCTTCCCTGTGTCTGTGTGGAAGTAGTATAATAGGCGCTATGCGATGGCATAATCTTTTAAGGAGTTCTGCATGGTATGACATTAAAAACGCTGATTTGCCACTCAATACAAACATATACGATGATGTCACTTGATGGTGTATTAGCGGGACCTCCATGGTGATGACTCGTGTGTGAATCCGGTATGGGGAGAGGTTACCGATATATTCCACATTGTCCACTAGGTGTGTCTGCAACGTGCAGTCCCGTCACTCTGCATTGTCCCAGCTTTACTTTGCCTTGATTGCTTTGTGCAGGAAACAAACGACCCGAACCAAGTGCTTGGCAAGGGCGGGCTGATGCCGCTAGGTGGCACGGAAGTGTCTGGCGGTTATAAGGGCTACGGATTGGCCATGATGGTGGAGGTGTTCTGCGGCATCTTGTCTGGCTCTCATTACGGTACTGGCATTCGCAAGTGGATTGGGCAACACGACGTTCCAGCCAATCTTGTAAGTCCTGTGACAGCGGACCGTTGCATCAATCCTGTCTCTGGCTAATCAGGATTGTTTTATTTGTGATGGTTGTGTGATGTTTACGGCTGAGTAGTGGTTTTCCCTCAGGCATCTTTTGATCGGAGGGGGGGGGCTTGAGTTTCCTCGTATTCCACAATGGACTCTAGTCTGTAGAGCTTTCGGATTATGTGGATTGCTGCAAAGTTGGAAGTCCCGCTTCTTCCACTTCAGATGGTATCTGGGTAGCTTAGAGTTCTTACTCATCACCTCAAAGCTGCTCTCTTTACAAGTAGAAAATGAATGAATGCTGCTATAGCACAGTCCAGTCGGTAGAGATATGAGTTACCAGTGCTGGCTGGAATGTTCTCCCATTGCACCATTGTTATGTAAGGAGAAGCTTTCATAATTGTAAATTGGTATTCTATTTGGTTTCCTCTGCTTCGTTGTTGTCTGATCAGGGCCAATGCTTCATCGCCGTCGATCCCAACTGCTTTGCCCCCGGATTCGCGGACAGAATGCAAGCACTGATGTCGTACTGCCGGGACATGGAGCCGGTATGAGCATGTGTGTGTGTGTGTGTGTGTGTGTGTGTGTGCGCGCGTGTGTGTGTGTGTGTGTGTGTGTGTGTGTGTGTGTGTGTGTGTGTGTGTGTGCGCGTGTGCTTGCTCGTGTGCGTATGTGTGCAAGTTGGTGACCCCGCATGATTCTGGACGTGGAATTGCTGCTTAGAACGAACAATTTGGTAGAACTGTATGTGAATTGGAATCTTGAATACGTACACCCTACGTGATCATGAATAGGCTAGCATCCTGAATACAGAATGCATAGCAGCTGGGTTGGGAACAGTACCGCTAATCAGCATCTGCTGGTGCTGGTGATGTTGTTGCTGTGCAGGCTGAAGGTGCGGAGAATGTTATGGTTGCTGGGGACCCCGAGCGTCACCATTTGAAGGAAGTGGAGCGGCTAGGCGGTGTCAGCTACCATGACAACCTCGTTTCAGCCATGGTAAGTCCTGTTGTTTCTGCTAGACCGTTCGCACCAGGCTGTACAGTGCATTACATGTTTTGCTTTTTGTTTATTAATACTTTTTGTTTATTATTACTTTTTGTTTATTAATACTTTTTGTTGGCGTTGCGTTCACATCTACATGTATATGCTTGGCAGATTTGGCAAAAAGTAGAGTCTTGATTTCCACCAAGGGAGTGGATGAAAACGAAAAGTATACAGCTTCTCCGTGGGTTTTCTATCGTGACGAAAATTCCCGGTTCACATCATGCATGTATTGTATGCGGATCAGCGGTGAGAGCTGACTTTAATTGTGTATCTGACTGAGCTGCAGTTGTGCGGAAGAGACCTGCTTGAATCCTGCTTGTACGCACTGCATCACTGAAATGACGCAGTCCAGGAATTTTGCACACCACATCAACCAGTAGCAGCTGTTGTGCATGCTTGCTTGTTTGTGGTGCACGTGAGTTCTCTTCACCATGCCATTGCCGTAGATAATTTTTATTTTACTTCGTATTTTATTTGTTTACAAGATACACAACTCCCCGGCAGGCACATGGGACTAGCATGGGGCTAGCATGGGGTGAGATGGTGCTGGTGGGGCTAATGTATTTGGTGTAATGGTGTTGGTGTTGTTATTTTTTTCTGCTTTTCCTCTACTCTTACAGGCCAAGCTGTCTGCGGAATTGAGCGTGCCAGCTATGCAGCCGAAAGCATAAATGAAACAAAGCACTTGCAACCAGTCGGGACACTGTCGCGTCCACTCGCCTTAGGACATGTCTGAAGTACGTCGCTCAAAGTTTTTTCTTTTCTTTAACATTAACAAGGCACCGTCTGACAAGCTTTTCCCTGACTGGCCTTTGGGAATATTTTTAAATCTACTTCACAAAGTACAATGTACCGGACCCCCTTTTTTCTACCGGATTTACACTAGAAGAACATTAAGAAATTTGATTTACTTTGCTGTGCTTGTTTGTACCTAGTCAGTAGTCTGTTGTCGACGATGTTACACTGGAATCATAATGCTAGTAACCGTTAGGGCCCCTCGGTTTTGAAATTACTCTGTTGCAGTGATGTGTGAGTTCAACGCCAACTACTTGTAATTACTTGCTGGACTCTTCATATTTTGACTCGGTATCGCTTGGCACTGGACGATTTTCATTGTCGTGGGGCGGAAAGCCCTCAGCAAGTCGAATAAAAGAAATATCACCTTCGCATGCACCAAAACTCTGTGTGTGTGTGTGTGTATGTGTGTGTGTGTGTGTGTGTGTGTGTGTGTGTGTGTGTGTGTGTGTGTGTGTGTGTGTGTGTGTGTGTGTGTGTGTGTGTGTGTGTGTGTGTGTGTGTGTGAGTGAGTGTGTGTGTGTGTGCGTGCGTATGTGTTACCACTGTATGTTTATGGTGAGGGGGGGGGGGGGGGTAGGGCATGTGTGTGTACGTATTCGTGTGTATCCTGTCTGCACTTGTAGTACATGATTGTATCCAGGGAGCCTGCAGAGATACAATCATGAAAGATAAGTGATTGGCTGAATAATTACTACAAACCAAGGAGTAGTACACTACCGGTATTGTACTACCAAGAGTACATAATTATGTACTCTTGGTACTACTCCTTGGTAGTAGGCATTGGCGGATAATGCTCGACAAGGTGGCAGATTCTGCTCAAAAAAGCAGTGAAATTGGGAGAACCAGGGAGTAGTACAATACCACTCCCTGGGCAGAACCATACAAACCTTATGGCGGGCAATTCCTCGAATTCTGCTCCATTTCTTTATCCACATACCAAACATGCATGAAACTTACCAGAAAAAGTACCGAATTCTGCCAATTTTTCTGCTGGCATTATCCGCATATGCCTACTTGGTAGATCTACGTACCGTCTGTGTGTAGTTAGCACGAGGCGCACAACTAATTACTTGGTCGATCGAGTTCCTGGCCATGTGGCAGGCTTGCAGTTGCACTACACATAGATATAGCCCGATTTTGCTAGCAATTCTGCTTGCAAAATATCGACGAATTTTGAAAAGAGACTTTGCTGGAAAAACGGAGCAAAATATCGGTATGTTCGCCGGAAATCGACGATGAGCCAGCAAAATTTGCGGCAAAATATCGAAGCTTCACCGCAAAATCGGACTTTGCCTAGCTTGCACGTGGCCGCCGCGAGGAGTATAGTCCTAGCTGGAGACATTTTTTGAAAATCAAAAACTGCACCAACGCGATCCCCATGATCACGTACACGACGTGTGGCACAAAGCAGGAGCTCGAGCTGTCGATTTGATTGGCAAACTAACACAATCATGTTTGTTCTCTTTGGCTGTTGAAGTGTTTCTGATTCTGATGCCTAGAACTGTTAGCAACATAACCCCCGGTGATTATGGACATTGGGCTCTTGCTGTTACATGTATACATGTACTGGAGAGTTGAGGTGCAGCTGTTTGCTGTGAGGAATCATTTGTTTGATCAATTTCACGATGGCTATCATAGTTGAAGCATTCCATGGAGGCTCCCATAAGCAACTGGTAGACCTCCTCTGTAACTCTCATAAGTTCTGCAAAGTCTATACGGCACCTGCCAGGAAGTTTCCTTGGCGATTGCGAACCTCGGCACTGTATTTTGCCAATGTCATCGAGTCCCACCCGGATTGCAAGTAGGTTACAGTAGCGTAAAGTGAGGTGCAGCTTTGAAACTACTATACTAGCATTATGGTTACACTGAACCAGTCCAGCACCATACATGCATGTCGCATGTCATGACAATATCTTTCTGTCAAAGCTATGATGAGCATCTCAGCATTCACTGCCAGTGAATAATTCTAATGAAATAAAATTAGATGAGCCGTCATCATCAAACAATCTTTAATATTCATAGCCCTGATTAAATTACTGTCTCCGCGTCGCTTATATTTTAGGATGGCAATAAACAGAATCAGCTGAAGCGTCATGTTACGAAGGTTTTATTGAAATGTCACGAACAAATTCTAGAGAAAGTGGTGATGGACAAAGAAATAACTATGATGGAAATGTAATGTGAAGAACAATAATAGGAACGATGAAAAACATAAAAATGCATCGAACTAGCTTTCGCACAACGCTCATCAGGAAGCATTGTTGTACTAATTAACAAATTGCAACACAGATTACTATAAATGATCAATAGTATATATATAATTATTATCAACAATTCAACATATTTCGCTTGGTGAATACTAGTACACAAGTTGACAAAAAGAATAATTGTGTTTATTAGCAAGAGTGCGTACCCCCGTTTCCTGTTTCAACTCCCTCCAACTTATGAACAGCACATCAAATCACTTACTAATATTTTAAGTTTCTGTGCTCTCACCGGTATGAAAAGATTCTGTCCTGGTCTGTAGGAAGTCACAGATGAGATATTCCCGATTGAGAAGATAAAAGTTTTGTGATTGCAATTGTAGTATAAGAAATTTGAAGTATGTTACTGACGGTACAATGTGATTCGGGAATTGACATGATAGGCTACATGTAAGATACATAAAACTCTCCTCCTCCATGCGCTCTAAAGCCGACCATAGCCATTACCCACACCAATAATTTCAAACAAAGAAGGGGTCACGGGTAAAACATTTCTACATGTATATGATTTTTTTTAAATGTACGTGTGTGTGTGTGTGAGAGAGAGAGAGAGAGAGAGAGAGAGAGAGAGAGAGAGAGAGAGAGAGAGAGAGAGAGAGACAGAGAGAGAGAGAGACAGGAACAGACAGACAGAGACATGCAGATAGACAGACAACCAGAGAGAGAGACCTTTGACCTTTGACCTTTGACGCCCATCGCCGGAGGCGATGATAGCAATGCTACGGCAGAAGCCATAGCAACTTGTGCTGGGATTACACCATTCAACAGCTTGCAAGGCTGAAGAATTGACCGTCACTATTCAGCCTGGTCTACACCATACAGCTATTTGGAGTGACATTTTCTGGCCAGTGAATCCCTATTTTTGGTCTTTTTCATTTTTTTCCCCGCACACACACCACACCACATACTCCGGCATGCACTGGCTGTTGGTAACCACCCAGGAGAATGAAAGAAAAGTCAGGAAGAGTCTGAGAAAGAGAAGAAAGACGTGTGTGACCATAATCGTCGGGAATCGAACCCGCAATCTATCGATTGGAAATCGCTGCACATACCACTGCACCATATGGGCACAGAGAGAAAGACACACACACACACACCTCAGACCTCAGACATGCCCATCGCGGAAGCGATGATAGCGAACAGCTATGTTAGACATAGCAACTTGTGCTGGGATTACACCATTCAACAGCTTGCAAGGCTGATGAATTGACCGCCACTATTTTTAGCCTGGTATCCACCACACAGCTGTTTGAAGGGATTCACACACACACACAAACACACACACACACACACAGCATGGTGTTGGTGCACCAATTCCTGAAAGCCACTCAGTGCACAAAGGCATGCGCAGTACACTCTACTTTGAAAGTTGGATTTTGCTATTTAAACCGATATTTTTTTCGCGTGTTGTCTGTGCTGATAGAGTTCTCTTTGCCACTAGCACTCTCAACCTGGCGGAGCTGTGTGGTCTACGTCCGGATCTAGGCAGGATGACCAAGGTGCTGTACTTTCATGAAAACCAGCTAGTGTACCCTGTTCAGAAGACCAGTGACCTGGATTTTCAGCTGGGCTATGCGCAGATTACTTCCAGGTTAGTACACAGGCGAGAGAGAGAGAGAGAGAGAGAGAGAGAGAGAGAGAGAGAGAGAGAGAGAGAGAGACCGGTGCTTGCATTCATGACAACTGACGCGCAAAGACATGCAACACCTAGCACACAGTCATTTTATCTTACTGTGCCTGCTGGTTTTTCTCCTGATCTCAGTCTTGATGTCTCACTCATTGTTTGTGCAGCCTGGTTGCTGACCTGGTTGTGTTTAACTCACGGTTTAACCGGGACTCATTCCTGGATAATGTTGAGCCACACTTGAAGCTCATGCCCGACATGCAGGTCAAAGGTGTCCGCAAGATGATCGAGAGCAAGTGCCACGTCCTCTACTACCCACTGCAACTGGAGAAACTGTCATTGGCAGCGGCTGAGTTCCGGAGCGACAGTACTGGTGCATCTGCTGCTACTGGCGCCGAGAGTGAGGTGGCAGGTGCTACTGCCGGCAGCAAGTGTCTGGTGACCAGTGACGCGTGTACTGAGCAGATGGGAAAGCCTGCCTCTACACTGCCCACTGCTGATACAGCAGCAGCACCACCATCACTGCCCACTGCTGATACAGCAGCAGCACCACCATCACTGCCACCGCCGGACCATCAGGTGGGTTCCTGTGCTTTACCTACTTCGAAGTATGCATGTCTCTTATGTTCGTTTCTACCAGTTAGCAACACTGAAACTTCCCCATGTGGATTAATTAGACATGAGTTTCCCATAATTCTTATTGCAGCGCTATGACATGCATTTGTGCTGTATGTGGTTTTCCTATGTTGCAGGTTACCTCCAGTGAGGCGCCGGAGTCATCTTCAATCACGACAATGTCAGAATGTAGTTCAGATGTTTCCCAGTCTAATGCTGCATCCAAGTACAGGCCACTGCATATTATCTGGCCGCATAGATGGTAGGATGACTGACCTATGCACTTTGTTTTCTAATGGGATGGGAGGGGGGGGGGGGGGGAGGGGGCGCTTGTTAATAATGTTGTTATCTGTATACTTTAGCTTCAAATATTTCACTGCAACACTTGCGTGTGTGTAATTTGATAATTAATTTTTAACCACCCGTAGCACCATATAATATCGTTGGTGTGCAGGATACATGACAGCAGGGTGTCTTCAAAATGTATCTCCATCAATATTTTCGAGGAGCTGGATTGTATCTTTTTCTTCCGGCTCTGCCAAGAAAGAAGGGGAGATAATGAAACATGAGGGAATGTTTCACGTTCTTGTCATGTGGTGGTCGGAATTGCAGTGAAACAGCTTCCTGTTCTCTCTCTCTCTCTCTCTCACACACACACACGCACACACACACACACACACACACACACACACACACACACACACACACACACTTTCTGCCACGTTTACAGGGAACATGACAAAAACCCGGAAGTTCTCTTTGCTGCACTGAAAGTGCTGGTCACAGAAGGCCAAAAATTCTGTGTGTCTATCATCGGCGAGGCCTACCATGAGGTGCCAGGTCAGTGAATCCATGTGTGCTTGTGTGTGTGTGTGTGTGTGTGTGTGTGTGTGTATGTGTGTGTGTGTGCCAGCTAGGTCGGTTGGCGGGTACACTCATGCCAGATATTGTTGGGTCTGTTGCCAACGGGCTCGGCTGCTTGAAGGTGTAATGTTGTACCTACCACCTTTGTTGGTTTCCACCCACACTAGTAGCAGGCAGTACCTTCAAAGTTTGGGGATTTCAGTCGGTTGTTGGGCGGTTCAGTAGCCAATTGAGTCATCTTTCCAAGATTCCTTTTGAGTATCTCTCCCCTCTCCCGGGGAGGCCCACGTGACCAGTTTTGGCAGTGAGCAAGTACAGTACAGTACAGTGTGTGTGTGTGTGTGTGTGTGTGTGTGTGTGTGTGCGCGCGTGCGTGCGTGCGTGCATGGTGTGTGTAGATGAGAGAGGATCAGTGACTGAACAAATGTGGACATGCTTCACTTGTATCACAGCGAACTCTCCCAAACGGTTGCCAATGTTTGTTCCCGTGTGCCTCCGTCTATTGACCCTATCTGTCCTTGTGCAGTGCAGATGTGTTCATGTCATCGCGAGAATGGCTAAAACCTCACATTGTTCACTGGGGCTACCTGAAGAGCCGTTCCGAATATCTGCGAGCCCTGCAATCGGCTGATGTAGTCGTTTCAACAGCCATGCATGAGTTTTTCGGAGTAGCCATGTAAGTTTAGGTCTAGATTTTGCGGAGAAGCGAGTGTCTGGATTGTTCTCCCTTCTGTACAGGCATGATGTGTGTTCATGTACTTCAAAGTTTGTGCTATTCCTGTAGGGAGACAGGTGCACTATCTGCACTATGGTAAGTAGATACAGAATGCAATAGTTATGCGTGTTGGTTGTTGAACAACTGATGTCCTGTACTGGCTAACCACACATTCTTGTGAATGATATTCGCAGTCCCCCGCTCTCGATAGTGCACACTTACGGTCTTCGCAGCTAGTCCACTGGAATGTACACTAATGAATAGCCCTCTTCTTCTTTTTTATAGCTGCTTTCTACAAGTACAGTCAGCTGTCACGTGCATAGTTATGCTGTCCTCTTTATCTGGTTCCCAGTCAACCTGAGTGAAGCCAAATCAACTGGCACGAAATTAGAGCAGGCACATGTTTTCAAGGTGAAATATTTAGATTGCCCAGTTCCCTTGCCTATCCGGATATCTCTACTGAAGTATGAAGAACATGGGTGCTACTAATACTGACGTGCATGTATCTTGTCTCTGATTCATGTTTCTTTTCGTCACAGGCTGGAAGCTGTGCACAGTGGTTGTTACCCACTGTGTCCCAATCGCCTTGTCTATCCAGAGATTTTCCCCAGTATGTATCACTGCCATGCGGGTGCATGCACCATGCATGTACAGTACACACACACAAACACACACCACACACACCACACACGCACACACACACACACACACACACACACACACACACACACACACACACACACACACACACCATTGGACCATTGGATGCCCATCGCCGGAGGCGATGATAGCGATGCTAGAGCAGAAGCCATAGCAGCTTGTGCTGGGATTGCACCATTCAACAGCTTGCAAGGCTGAAGAATTGACCGCCACTATTCAGCCTGGTCTACACCACACAGCTATGAAGTGGCTTTTTCTGGCCAGTGAATCCCTACTTTTTGGTCTTTTTTATTTATTTTTCCTCGCACACACATCACACCACATACTCTGGCAGGCACTGGCTGTTGGTAACCACCCAGGAGAATGAAAGAAAAGTCAGGAAGAGTCTGAGAAAGAGAAGAAAGATGTGTGTGACCATAATCGTAGGGAATCGAACCCGCAACCTATCGATTGGAAATCGCTGCACATACCACTGCACCATATGGGACACACATATACACACACACACACACACACACACACACACACACACACACACACACACACACACACACACACACACACACACACACACACTCATGTGCACAAGCGTGTACGCACACTCACATGCACAACTGTACATTGTATACATCATGTACACTGACGTAGAAGTATGCTCATTACTGTGCGGATATGAACCGGAGGTTGGATGTACATGACGTGTATAGATCCAGAACCATCACTGGTCTACGTCAGGGAGTCGTACTCAAACTAGGGAGGTGACACGGCACAGAAATCCGTGTCACAGGGGTTGACTCGCACCCGTGACCCCTCGTTGTTATTTTTGGAATAGTTCAGTCCAGTCCAGTCCGAAAGGTCATACTCGGATCGACTCGCCTTCTGTACTTCACCTCCAAGCGTGCAACGCAAGACCCGCAAAGTATGATTTTTCTGTGGGGAACGATTTTGCCATCGATCAAGTTTTTATAGGAGTGCTCAAGCATACTACGATTGCTGAGACGTCCCGAGCACGCTTGTTCAGGTTCTCTATTTTTGACGAGCCGGTCCTACAGCCCCCTACATTGTATCTAACGACGTAGGAGCTGACAATGTAAGAGGATTTCCCTGGAAATAATGATGATGGTGGTGTGACTGCTGCAGGAAAAATGCTGGCTGTTTATGACAGTATGACTAGATGTACAATGTAGCTCTCTTGTATGGTACTTAACCCCTGCTAGAAATGTGTTGTTTAGGAAGACTGGTGTATTGTGCAAGTCATAAAGAAGAAATGGGGCAGATACACGACTTACAATTTTCAAAAACCCGCTTCGTGTTATGTCTAATTTGTGTCAAAATTGTAATATTTAGACATGACAATATCATTGGCTGTACTTCTCTAATATGGTACATAACCCCTGCTATAAATGTGTTATTTAGGCAGACTGGACCATTGTGCAAGTCATAAAGAAGAAATGGGGGCAGATAACGACTTACATTTTTCAAAACCTGGCTTCGTGTTATGTGTAATTTGTGTCAAAAATGTAGTATTTCAACATGACAATATCACTGGCTGTACTTCTCTTATATGGTACTTAACCCCTGCTAGAAATGTGTTGTTTAGGAAGACTGGTGTATTGTGCAAGTCATAAAGAAGAAATAGGGCAGATACACGACTTACAATTTTCAAAAACCAGCTTCGTGTTATGTGCAATTTGGGTCAATTTTTAGTATTCGGATTAACCTAGGATACGACTCTGAACAGTTCTGAACAGTTACCGTAACACTACACGCTGTCTCATAACTGCTGCTGTTGCCATCACTGCTATCAAGTAGTTCGGACATGGCAGGAGGTAAACAAATTGCTGGTAGTCTTTCAAAGAATACTGGCGAGTGATGGGCTGTAAACGAAATGTGCTGCCTCAATAATTTCAAAAACTAGACACCCATGCTGCACGCTTGGAGGTGAAGTACAGAAGGCGAGTCGATCCGAGTATGACCTTTCGGACTGGACTGGACTGAACTATTCCAAAAATAACAACGAGGGGTCACGGGTGCGAGTCAACCCCTGTGACACGGATTTCTGTGCCGTGTCACCTCCCTAGTTTGAGTACGACTCTCTGGTCTACGTGCATAAGCATTGTGTTGCACACTGTGCATCACATTTTTTATGACAATCAGGACATACAGTGCACACACGTTTACTGTAAAACGGGTAACGTTTGCGACAATAAATGTTTGCGTTTTACAAATAGAGACTGGTTTGCGCTGTTTAATGTTTGCGAGTCGTTCTACACAGTCGAGTCAGTCCTTGCACTGAACTTTACATGGCGCGAGTTTGCGTTGTTCAAAGTTTGCGATTCGGGGCCTCTCGCAAAATTCGCAAACATTTTTACGTCGCAATAGTTACCCGTTTTACAGTATTCTTCGAGCTCTGGATGAGCTACTCTCCAACTCCGTGGCCTCAAATAATGAAATGTCACTTAGTCTAGGAAGAAGCTGGCCCAGCTTATTTGTCAGTGTTCTTTCAATCTCCTTTAGAACTGTATTGTCATGCCTTTCTACATGCAAAAGGGCAGGGATGTGAGTAGATGAGAATCACTTAGAAGGGGATGCTTCTTCAATTTGCATTGCTTTTGGGTGTAAATACACCTCCTAACTACTTCTGAGTACATTTTGTTGTTGTTTTTCCTGTAGAAGAATGCCTGTACTCCACGGACAATCAGCTGACGAAGAAGCTGCGCACATTCTGTCGTTTCCCCCACTTGGCCAAGGTATCTCTAGAGGTAAGATCGCGAACGTCGGTCATGATGACAGCAATGCACTGGATCAAACTACTACACAAGTTACCGTATATTCTCTATTAGAAGCGCTGTGCTTATAATCAACACACCTCTACCCCGCGCTTATATTGGAGACCGTGCTTATATTTTTTCAACCAATAACTCCATACAGAGCAAGAAGAAATGCAATGCCATGCTAGATGCCATGCACGCAACACTGAATTCCACTGAGACCGTGCTAATAATGGAGACTGTGCTTATAAGTTATGTTTCGAAAGGTGCTCACAGTGTGCTAGTAATAATGGAGACATGCGCTTATAGTAGAGAATATACGGTACATGGCAGCCCTGTGTAGATGACACTGCCCACATAATAACAGTATACGAGATTGTGAAGCCAGATTCTGTGTGATGTTGCTGCAGATCGACTTGGAGCGCTTTGACTGGGACAAGACGCTGAAGCAGGCGTACACCGACCTACTCAGCGGCAAAGAACCATCTTGGAGTGTACCAGGCTGAGTGCAAACCCGGACATGCATTTACTGTGTATCTACTTTGAAGTATGCACATGCACATTGAAAGCGTCAAACACAACCTGGACTGTATTGGCTCCGACTTGGTGCTCAACTCGATGGAACCTCTATGGTGGATGACTGGGCTATGGGCCAACTGTGCAGATTCTGGGGCATTAGTGCAACTGAACGCAACAGAAAGCAAAACTCCGTACATACGTGGCTAGCATGGTCCCACCAACACCTGTGTTCTCATTCAAGTTCTGACTGTGCTCCTGAAAGCCTAGGATGTCAATTCAAGCAACAGCAATTTTAAAGATGCTTGGTATCTTTGGCCTGGCAAGTTTCAACCAAGCTAGTGATTTCACCCAGCACAACGGGACACAGGCTCTACCGTACCTGTTTGCTCCGAGCATTTCCACGTGACCATCAACATTCATCAGTACTCCTGCATGTCAGCGTGAAACCAGAGGTAGATATGCAAAACTTTGCCCTTCATGGTTGTTGGCCCTGGTCAGTGTATGGTGGATTTCATCATAGCTGGCTGCTCATGAAACTTATAGTGATAGGCAGTGGCGTAGTGCGTACTGTACAACCGAGCTGGGCTTGTGCAGCAGTGGACTTTATTGTGCTTGTATGCACAGCAGCACTAAAACGATGTAATCCAGGAATTTTGCCATGCCAGCAAGTTTCGAGTTGCGTACTATGGCTTTCGTGTACTCTTGGCGACTCACGGTTGCGTGAGGTCATTTGGATGTTTGTATTGTTCCTGTGCCTGAGCCATGTTTATTTATTTCCTAAGCATCATTGTTGCAACACTCGCCCAGCACCATAGGCCATTAGTACCTGTGCAGTGCTAACATAGGCAGTCGCTTTCATTATTTTCATAGCATTCAAGATCTTAGAAGTTAGAACAAAACGAAATACCCTGTGATTGAGCAAATAAAAACATAAAGAGCAACTGATTGGAGCGCTTTGAGTAGCGCTTTGAGTAGCGCTTACACAAATGTACCCGGGTTGGTAATTCTTTTCTGAAGCCAACTGCAAATTTTCTCATGAAAAAATCAATGGTTCGCTCTGTGATGGCCAGTGCGTTACCTAAAACAGATAAGTTCAAGTTTCTTTGAGAGCGCTATGTGTCATCGGAGTTGATGTGTGCAAAGTGTTTTGTAAAACTGTTCTCCAGTCTGTGTACAGTTCCCTGGAAGTTAAAACCGGTCGGGTAATCCTCGTCTGGATTGGCTTGGTCATCGTAGACAAAGTGCTTTCCGAATTCGATCGCCAGTGATGACTTCACCAGTCCAATGCCGCCGAGTTTCTCTGGCGCCTCGTGATAGATGCGCCCGGTGCCTGGCAGCATGAACAAAGACTGTGGCTGGAATGGAATACTAAGGATCTGATGCAGATCACCACCATACCATAACTTGTACACCTCGTCATCGCCACCATCAGTACTGCTCCGATGCTGCTGCTGCTGCTGCTCTGTACCTTGTGTTGCACTTGATGATAACTGCACTGGTTGTTCACCAGTGGTCATTGCTGATTGTGGATCATTCCAGTCAACAGGTACAGTGCCACGCGACAGCTGGGAAAAGACCACTGGCAGATCATCACAGCATACGTAGTTTATCTCTGGACCGCATGGTGAGTAGAACGGAAACTCGTCCCGGTAGCGGCTTGTGTCGTTTGCCTTCAGGCGCCGAAAGAAGAATCTGAGAAAGGCCCTGTCTGGACGGAGAAAAAGAGAGGGAGGGAGAGAGAGAGAGAGAGAGAGAGAGAGAGAGAGAGAGAGAGAGAGAGAGAGAGAGAGAGAGAGAGAGAGAGAGAGAGAGAGAGAGAGAGAGAGAGAGAGAGAGAGAGAGAGAGAGAGAGAGAGAGAGAGAGAGAGAGAGAGAGAGAGAGAGAGAGAGAGAGAGAGAGAAGAGAAAGAGAGAGAGCTACTAACTCGACAATCCCATGGCCAAGAGTGCGAATTTTTAAAGGGGAAGTATACCCTAAAATCAAATTTTCACCAGTTGTAGTCTTCGGGGTGCTGAGTCGAATGGTCTTGGTCCGAGGAAGCTGAGGCGCTTCCTTCCTACTTGAATCCCAATCGAACCCGCGCACTTCCACCGAAACTGGGTGACTGCGCCCTACTAGATGGGGATTTGTATGCAAAATCTCACTAAAAGCGCCGTTTCGTTCTTATAAAAGCACGGATGACCGCGATTGGCCCATATGTTGTAGTCTTTTGGACGCTGAGTCGACTGGTTTTGGTCCGAAAAGGCTGCGATGCAGCGTTCCTCCTTTATTCCCAATCGAACATGGTTGAACAAGCGGTCACGTGCTCCTGCGTACACCAGTCACCTGGTCACCGTGCCTGCAGGGTACAACTTACTAGCCTGTTTGACCTTTTTTGGGTGCAGTCCTGTCACTCGAGTTGAACTCGAGTTGAACCTTGGTGTGAAAGTTGTCGCCTGCTGGCGTGGTGACCAGGTGATTTGGGCACCCAGGAGCACGTGACCGCTTCTTCAACCATGTTCGATTGGGAATAAAGGAGGAACGCTGCATCGCAGCCTTTTCGGACCAAAACCAGTCGACTCAGCGTCCAAAAGACTACAACATATGGGCCAATCGCGGTCATCCGTGCTTTTATAAGAACGAAACGGCGCTTTTAGTGAGATTTTGCATACAAATCCCCATCTAGTAGGGCGCAGTCACCCAGTTTCGGTGGAAGTGCGCGGGTTCGATTGGGATTCAAGTAGGAAGGAAGCGTCGCAGCTTCCTCGGACCAAGACCATTCGACTCAGCACCCAGAAGACTACAACTGGTGAAAATTTGATTTTAGGGTATACTTCCCCTTTAACGACATCAGTTGCTGTAGCCATTTGGCTCACTGATGCTATCAAGCGTGGCCACGGATCAAATGGCAAAGAACCTGTACAAAGGACAGTAGATCTACGACACCGCATCGTACGTGACAAGCCGAGAAAGGCCTATGCACTTGATCCTACTTCCGCCGAAAAGTCAAATTCCACTGTGGGCACTACACACACTTCACTGCAGGCAGTGTACTTCTCATAGCCGCGTGTACTCCTGAGAAGAGAAACTAGCGACAAACGCGGACATTGCATACATATCAGTCACTCCATAACGCGCCTTGGATGTGCCCGGGGGACTACCGTTGTCTAGTTTCCATTCATCTGACCTTGTCAAGCCCCTGGGCCAGTACAATCATCAGCCTCCCAATAGGTAATAGTTCTTTTCGTATGTATGCATGTACGTGTGGCTACTAGTAGTGCCTCTCATAGTTATTGTCTGTTGATTGCCTTTGCGCGTGATTTCTAGCGCTGTATGTTGTGTCCCAAGAAACAATGCGCACTTGCACTATCACATCTTTTAGAGCTGTTATCCTCCAACACCTCAGTTTCCTACGGCATGCCACATTTCTACCGGTATGTAGAAAGCGTGGAATTTTTAGTGTCACCCTTTATAACATCATTTTTTCACCTCAACCATTCATTATCAGTTATTCTACTACTACAATTATGTAGTACCTGCACTGATGAGCTTTGTTGGAGCGAAACAGCTGTCTAGAGGGTTTGACAACATAAAACTCTCAATGGAATTGTCCTCAATGTGGTGATCATATACAAGTGGAGCGGGTTGGCCAAGAGCGCACGGTGGAATGTGTTGGCCAAGAGCGCATCGTGGAATGGTGGACTGACTGATATGGTGGGTACAGTACTCCGTTTGTGTATTTTCATAGACACCTTTGTATTATGCATAGAGATCTATCTACTGTACATGTACACGTGTATCCAATTAATATTAGTACTTGTGCATGTACCTTTGAAACACGTGACGAAATTCTTGATTTTCGTGTCGTCCAAAAATAGCTGTCCCTGATGATCGATGAAATAGAAATATTCCCTTTGCTGATCACCAACCGACTGCCCCTGCTCGTAGAGAAACGTGGAACCAGTGGTGGTGAATCTCCTACCTCCAAGTCCAACCCTGGCCGTCAGCAAAGGGACTCTTCTAAGGAATATCATTTCAAAAAAATGAGATGACTACATTATAAAATTGACAAAAACACAGCTTGCTTCTTCTCCAAAAATAGGAACGAGAATCTGTTACTTGGTACCACACCTACATGTACACAGTAGTAGTGTCAGTACATGCAGAGCAGAACTCGAGATCAGAATGAACTTCTTTTCATCTCCAACTACTTTGCCAAGTCAAGGAAAATAATAATTTCTTTCTTTTGAAAGCCCGAAGTTCAAATTTTTAAAGTAACATTAGTTGTGACGTGTACGTGCAGCACAAGCCCTTTTAATTTTACACGTGTTACGTGTAGATCTACGTGCATATGCGTGTTTATGTGTAGATCTACGTGTGCTTGTTTTGAGGCATACACTGATACAGTCAGTACAAAAAAAAGTAATGTACTGTACAGTCATGATCATGTTCATTTTTATAGGGAAAATGGAATGGTCCATTTTCCCTACTAAAACTAAAAGGAACAAGGAGTTGGTGTATTAATTACCCTACTTCCGCACATATATTAAAGCGCATGTGCTTATGGCCAGATATAAAGTGCACCCCCCCCCCCCCCCCCCCAATTATAAACGCATGTGCTATGTGAACACTATTTTGTGAAACACCCGGGAGCTGAATATACCACTAAGCATTGTGATAATACCATCATGTGCTTCTACCCGGACATGTTCGCACAGCAAAAAAGCTCTTTTGTAGCAAATTTTCGCTTATAAGCCCATACGCATGTGGGGAAGTACGGTATAACTTCTTGCTCCACATCTTTACCACTGCCAGTACAAGCACCAGTTCATTTTCAAAACGTAAGAACTCCCAACAGGTACTCTTAGAATCCACCCGGTGTTTGTGTGTGTGTGTGCGTGCATGCAGTTTATACCCCGCTGTGATTCCAACCTTGAAATATTCGTTACATGCACATATACCTGCATATACGCAATTTCAAAGCATATCTAAAGCTTCAGGAGGCAAACTGTAGTTTGGAATATCATTGGAATGCAAATCGAACCTAGACAAGAATTATTTCAACAACCATGCAGAATCTGCATGCACTAAGAAAAAACGTTCAACCAAAGGAGTAAAAAAAGCACTTCATGTTAAAATAATCAAGTGTTAGATGTGGTTGACTAGGTCCAAGCAGAAGGTTCACACGGTGGCGCGCAGTGGAGGTGAAATGAGAATAACGCCATCACCGCGCACAAATAGCATCGGGACTGTTCTCTTTGATGTCTGTTCGCAAAACAACACACAAAGAAAGAACATTCTATTCTATACAATATATCCAGAATAAGCCAAGGTATTTGAATAACAAAAAAGGACCATGACATACTCATCCATGAGCAATGAATGGACAACACATAAGTAATACTACAATGCCCCACACTGTGCTTTTAAGAGTTGCACGACCGTATTTCACTCCGCAGCACAGTAGAACTAGTATCTATGTGACACGATCGGCCGAACAGGCAGATTGCCAAAGAGTGTGCGGCACACACACACACCACCGTATCCAGTGAACAAACACGGGCAGTCTAGTATTGGTGGTGGTCAGTTTGACTGCACACCATACACAGCATGTTAAAGTGAAGCTTGGGTATATAGCGAAACACCAGTAGGAAGGCACAGCATACCCCTATTTCCGATATGTCACTACAGCCAGCGTTGACATACCGAACACGATTATCTAAGACTGACTGTATCATACTAATATGCTGCACACTTCAGTCTTCTAGTGGAATTTTGACCAAGAAAATGCCATTACCACAGTAACTGGGTCTCAGTGCTGCAACTCAAGGGTCTCGTAGCGCCTAGAGTTGGGATTCCACCTGGAGTATACGCCACTGGAGGCAACCGCCACGTCAACATACATGCATGCTTACAAACTTTAATAAGAGTTCCCGCTTTTTGTTGTTATTAGAAATGAACACATCGGCTAAGCTTGCAAGGTGGATAGTTAATTTGCTCGCCAGATGCACACTTTCTATTTTCTAATTATTTCAGTCACATGGTATCGTGTGTAAAAAATTATTTACCTTGTAAATTTGTTCATACGTTTCTTCGTCCACTTCTACAGTGGTTATGGTCTCCTCCACGTCACCGAGAATCATATTTAGATGTTGGTCATACGCCTGAGGTGAAGAGAGAGAGAGAGAGAGAGAGAGAGAGAGAGAGAGAGGGGGGGGGGGGGGGGGGGCATTGAGAAGAAAAGTGCAGGATATTGTAAAAGATGATTAGATGATGAGCTTAAAGCCTTAAACCCACTTCATTCTTGCTTTCATAAATAATGCTTAGAAACGTATATGTACGAGAACGTAAGGCCTTTGCAAATTATTTGAAGATCAGAGAAGTACAGTCATGTATGTGAGGTCAATATTGACTTACATGCAATTTCCCTCTAAGCTCACGCTCATTGCGCATTTTTACGTAAATCCGCTCATCCAAACTGAGGCGAACGAGATCGAGTGGCTCCTCGACAGCGCTTACAGGCTCGGTTGGCTCTGCTGCTTCTGCCATTTTCTCAGTTGAATAAACAAACTCGTTCAATGCTATTGCATGATTGCAGAAAAGATTTTGAATGCAATGAAGGAAAAACAGGAACACGAAAATATTGCGGGAAAATCTTTTCTCCTGGGCCTTGCTAGCATGCTTCGCCTTGATGTGCACGTTGACGTCATGATTTCGCATGGATCAAATTTTTGTTGTGCTTGACTGTTTTTCAGCAAAAATAACGAGACTGTGAAAGAAGCCTGTCTCCAGCAAGGTGTTGACTCCTTGGGATTTGATGGAATGGTCCATGTTATGAATGGCATAATTTCTCTCAGTAGTTGCTCTCCGTGATGGCGGCGATTAGACACATCTTGCAGAAGGATGTCTTCACGCCTGCCGAGGAGAGGCTGGTCGGTGTGGTCAGCGTCACCAAACATGGACAGAAGAGAAAGGCTGGAAACACTGTGTTTCTGTGTGCCACAGGTAATTTGATTTTCTGTGTTCTTCTCAGTAGCATTCTCTGGATCTGCTATCATCAGGCTATCGTGGGCCTCATTCTGTTTGATTTCACGCGTGTGAACCTGATTTCATGATCGATACCCTGGTTGTTGTTGCATCATGCTCTGTCGTGAATTCGTGCAGTAACCAATGAAAAGCCTCAATCAGCAGCAGTGCACAAGGTCAAGAAGACTGCTGACAAGGACTCGTACAAGAAGAAGCAGACATGGAGCCTTAGTGATATGTCCTTGGTGGACGGCAAAGATGCCGACGTCGTAAGTGTGTGCATCACAGCTTAGGAATTGTTTGCTTTTTGATTTATGAGGAAGGTCATTCATTACACATGTCAGGTATCTTCGTAGTACATGACACACTAGAACGTACATTATGTACATGTAGTTTTATAAGGATCACTGAAATCACGATGTTGTTCGGGCTCTTGTCTAGACATTATGGCGTGTTTGCTGGAGTATTGTGCGCACTCCCTTTTGACCAAAATGTTAACCGCTCAAGGTGCATTGGCACGATGCACTTCATACCCGAATTATAGGGTACACCCAAGATTTCTTCCCGGAAATGGTTCATCCGAACGTCGCACTACACTCCAGTAAATACAATGCATGTATGGAGATATTCGGGAGAGAAAAAATGGCATCTGGGTAGTGCGAGAAATGGACAAAGTGGTGATAACTGTTATCTGGACTCGCCGGATTCACGTGCCATTTCAGTACATGTATCTGCAAAGTGCATGTATTCAACACAGTGTATGAACATGATCAAGTCAAGCCATGGGCACGGCACGTAAACCATTGTTAGTGCAGTACATGTATACAGGTGAACTGTATGATGATGGTGACAACAGAGTACAAGGCGGAGGACACACTGTATTGAAAACAGCATTCCTGACTGCAACCAGAGATCCGTTGGTAGAGCCCCAGTCTTGCCGGCGTATGGGGTCAAGCCCCGTTTTGGACCTTCCATATTCTAGGCTTGACCCTAATGTCACCTCATACTGTTTATATGGTGGCAAGATCGGGGCTCTACCAACGGGTCCCTGGTTGCAGTCAGGAACACTGTTTTCAATACAGTGTGCCCTCCACCTTGTGCTACACTGTCATCTGGTAAATTACGTATGTTAGGTGAGCTGTTATACTCAATAGAGACTATTCGCACAATTGTACGAGTGCAGGATGATCACGAGACATTTGATCACCCATTGCTGGGGATGAGGATTCGTAAGAGCTCTGCAGAAGGCCTGGTTTATCCGAGTGCATGCCTTTTTGATTTGTCAGCTGCTCCGAGTGAAGGCTCGTCTTGGTCATCACGGGATGCAAATGGTCTCTTCAAAAATGTTAGTCGGGTCGCTGCCCCCGCAGTCAAAAGCCAACGATGTAAATACGAATGTGCAGTACCCAGTGAGATTTTGCCTGAGAATCGATTTTGAATCCATTCATGAACCGCCCCTGGCTATTCCAGTGCTGCCAAATAATTTTCGCCCAAAATCGGACACCCTTCACCTTCGCGTCAAGGCTGGCCACATGCCATGGTGCGAATTTTTCTCCTCGGCAATTTTTTTACAGAGAATTCAAAATATCGCCTAAACACCATGAAAATTCGCTTCGTTGCCATGGTAACCCCGGAGTTGTCATGAATTTTGCCGCATTTTGTAATGATGAGTGTGGTCGCACACTGACTCTGTACAGACTGTCAGTGTACGTGCCATCCAGCCTGATCCAGGCATGTTACTTCGCACTTCCACAGCCAAGCACTAGCCTTTTTAGAAGCAAATGTACAAGTGATTTGTGCCTTCAGTTGCGCTGAAAAGTGAAAGTACAGGACTTCTACAGATGAAAGTAATGACTCCGACATTTTGGCTGCTTTTCGGACGTTTCCCTTTTCGGACCGGTTTTCGGAAGAGCCTTCGAAAATCGGACACTGTCCGAAAAATCGGACGGTTTGGCAGCACTGCTATTCTCATCACCCGATGTGAATAGGGTGAATGAATTCCGAACCCATTCCGGGGCTCATTACATGACATCGAACGACGAGTTTCCATTCATGAATCGATTCATGGCAGTAATCAAACGCACCTGGCATGATAGGCTTTTGAATGTTTCGATGCATGTAGCAGTTGAAGATGGCATTCCCGCGTAGCCGTCATTTCCTCGTCCACAATGACCTGTGTCACAGCATAGTCGAATCTCGAGGATGCAGGGAGTGGGCAAATTTCTTGCCGTCGACGTGTCCTGTCGTCCTGTCCCGTTGTATACTAGTATATGTTTTGTTATTGTTGCTGCCGTAATGCGTGTTGGCGCTTTTGTATGGAGTCACATACAAAGCATTGGTTTGCTACGCCATACTTCATGTGACTGTGATGACATCATTCATATAGGCATACATCATGTATACCTCTATGATGATGTCGTTTGGAGTACCTCTTCAGTCACAGTAAAAATTAAAAAATTAAATAAAATGAAGTTCTTCTAACTCCCTATCGCTTTTTGCTGTACTCTATTTAGGACACCCCTGAGTTTGACCTGCACTTTGACAAGGTCTATCGATGGGTGGCCAGCAGCCTGGCTGACAAGAATTCATTCATCAACTGTGTGTGGAAGGTAAGCATACTGAACATTTTGGTTGAATCTCGTGAAAGTTTTATGTTCATGTTCATTTGGTGATGTCAAACTTGGGCTCTGTCGGGTACCGTTTCCCTCAGGTATCGGTTTCGGGTAGTTTTCTATGAGTGCTGCTATAGCAACGTAATATTGATAACTACCGTACTTATTGATCAGACGCCCCTCTTGAATAAATGCCCCCCCCCCCCCCCCCCGCGCACGCGAAGACAGTTCAAAACGTAAAGGTTTATCTTGAATAAAAGCCCTATCCACATAGTTGAACGGTAGTTGACTAGTTGCCCATATGGCAGTGCTTAGAATGCAGATAATGCCAGATATGAAGGCACATGTATCCTGAAATCAATGAAATAGTAATAAAAAAACTAGGGCTCAAACAATTAGTCCGATTAACCGGTTGCAGACCGGTTACGAAGAATTAACGGTTACGCAGTAACTTTTCAGTCAATTTTTCAAGTATCAGGTCGTTGCAAAGTGTGCACTTTCGCGGGCTGTCGCACGCGTACGCAATTTCTGGGCTGTCAACTCGGTCATATCTGGTCTCTTGGTGTGAGAGTATGTATGAATGAGCATGCAAGAGAATGTACAAGTGTGCGTTGTACTGAATAGGGTACATTTTTTGAATGAGTTTAGTCAAATATACGGTTAAAAAAGAGTCCGCAGGATTGCCGTTGCTTATAGGTTATAACCGGTTAACCGACCGTTAGCTTAGCAGTTAACCGTCAGGGGTAAAACCGTGACCGTTTGAGCCCTAAAAAAAGCCATTTGAATAGAAGTCAGCCTCGCACAGAAGCCCCACTCAATGTGGACATAAACAAATTCAAAGCTTCCACATCTACAGCCACCAGTGGCTACTTGTTCTAAGAGTACTACAACTACATACATGTAGCTTCCAGGGAGTTATGTGCTCTTGGTAATACATGTATACCCTCTGATTGTTAGCTCACTACATGTAGTGTTGCATTGTGATGTGGTTCTTTTCCATGTACGCTCTGTTTCAGCTGTGTCATCGATACTTGCGCAGAGTGCCCCACTTTACCAACGTGAACTCAGATCGACTGGAAGGTACGTGCTCAATGCAAGCAGTGGTGTATGTCTGCATGCATCGCCTCTTGGCCAGTCCTGAACGCCTGGTCCTGACTGTGTGCAAGTGTGCTCACTGGTATGGCCACACAAGAGATTACTGGCTGGTGTACTCCTATTACTATCCCACTTTTTCAACTGCCGTACGTCTTGCCTTGTACTCGTACCAGGTCATATTTGATTTTGCTTATGCATTGTGTGCTGTTGTTGGTGTTGCTTCTGTTGCTGGTGGTCTCTGCATTGCAGATCACACTGAAACAACAGAGAGTATTCATGGAACAGCTAGTGCAGCAGCAGGTGAGTGGTTTGCAACAGCTTAGCTGCTAGTACACGATGCTGATGGCTGCACTGCCGGTGGTATCTGTGTTCTGCGTGGGAACAAGCGCATGTGTGTGCGTGTGTGTTGTTGTTTTTTTGGGGGAGGGGGGGGGGGGGTGCATGTCTGTCAGGCACACGTGGTCAAGGTTACAACACAACACAATACAACACGTTTGCATGACTGTTCCCAACTTAGTAACTTAGTTGATGGATAAGAAAGAAAATATACTACCGCTATAACCCATTGCATATTATTGTTTGGCGTGTCACCATTGTGCCTGGACGTTATTCTCTTTATGTTTTTTTTTTTGGTTTAGTAAATTGTGGGTGTTGCCTGTTTTCTCTTTGTATGCCCGGTTTGAATAGCCGATGACTACCAGGAGTTGACCACCGCGGACGAGACGGATCTGAAGCAGATCATGGACTCGTGCAACTGGGCGATTGGCAATGCCGAGGCATTCACGGAGAAACTGGCCGAGGAGTTGTCGGGCCTGGACGGCGCCAATATCCACGCCATCATGGGCTCCGAAGCGCAGGTGCAGGAGCTGATCAAGCTGCTCGACCAGGCACTCTGGGAGCTGGAGAACACCGAGTCGCGTCTGTCCGACTACGACGCGCTGCTGCGTGCCGTGCGCGACAGCATGGAGCTGATGGAAGAGAAAGACAACAGCCTGCGTGTTGAAGACCAGAATAGGCGCAAGCTGGTCACGGAGATTGAAAACCTGGTGGTAAGTCAGCTGCAGCAGCAGCAGCAGCAGCAGCAGCAGCATGGGCAACAACAGCAGATAATGAGTAGTGCAATGCACTTACATATGTTGTTGTACAGTAAAACTGCCCTAATCCGGGTTGCAGGTTGGGACCGAGCACTCCCCTAATCCGGGTTGCAGGTTGGGACCGAGCACTGCCCTAATCCGGGTTGCAGGTTGGGACCGAGCACTGCCCTAATCCGGGTTGCAGGTTGGGACCGAGTACTGCCCTAATCCGGGTTGCAGGTTGGGACCGAGCACTGCCCTAATCCGGGTTGCAGGTTGGGACCGAGCACTGCCCTAATCCGGGTTGCAGGTTGGGACCGAGCACTGCCCTAATCCGGGTTGCAGGTTGGGACCGAGCACTGCCCTAATCCGGGTTGCAGGTTGGGACCGAGCACTGCCCTAATCCGGGTTGCAGGTTGGGACCGAGCACTGCCCTAATCCGGGTTGCAGGTTGGGACCGAGCACTCCCCTAATCCGGGTTGCAGGTTGGGACCGAGCACTGCCCTAATCCGGGTTGCAGGTTGGGACCGAGCACTGCCCTAATCCGGGTTGCAGGTTGGGACCGAGCACTGCCCTAATCCGGGTTGCAGGTTGGGACCGAGCACTCCCCTAATCCGGGTTGCAGGTTGGGACCGAGCACTGCCCTAATCCGGGTTGCAGGTTGGGACCGAGCACTGCCCTAATCCGGGTTGCAGGTTGGGACCGAGCACTGCCCTAATCCGGGTTGCAGGTTGGGACCGAGCACTGCCCTAATCCGGGTTGCAGGTTGGGACCGAGCACTGCCCTAATCCGGGTTGCAGGTTGGGACCGAGCACTCCCCTAATCCGGGTTGCAGGTTGGGACCGAGCACTGCCCTAATCCGGGTTGCAGGTTGGGACCGAGCACTGCCCTAATCCGGGTTGCAGGTTGGGACCGAGCACTGCCCTAATCCGGGTTGCAGGTTGGGACCGAGCACTCCCCTAATCCGGGTTGCAGGTTGGGACCGAGCACTCCCCTAATCCGGGTTGCAGGTTGGGACCGAGCACTGCCCTAATCCGGGTTGCAGGTTGGGACCGAGCACTGCCCTAATCCGGGTTGCAGGTTGGGACCGAGCACTGCCCTAATCCGGGTTGCAGGTTGGGACCGAGCACTGCCCGTAACTCAGAACACACACATACTTATACTGCATGCAAGTAAACATTTTTTATGCCAATCAATAGTTTTTGGTGTCGTTTTTCATTCCAACGCCAATTTTTGTGACTCTACATGGGTCAGACAGGTGCCCAGCAGACTGACATGCCCGGATCGGGAGAGATTTTCTGTAATGTGTAGTTGATGTAGTTGGGCTGTATACTACTTCACCTGGATGTGAGCACAGCTCCGCCACGAAATTCTTTCTTTCCCTGCCCTAATATTACATTATGCTGAGCATCCTGGTACAGCAGACTTCCTATATCATGTCTTTACCCCCAGGGAGGCTGGTAAGCATGCGATGGCGTATTCTGCACTGTAAATTATTATTGTACTGCCATGCCCCAAAATTCGCAGCACTACACGTATGTTATCTTTTCCCATCTGTCAGTGTGCTGAGCTGGAAAGAGATGATGGGGACTGGATACATTCCACTAGCATAGCCTGGTACGGTTTTTCCTGTTTTTGCCGTTGCTATAAACTGGCCTGTTTTATTTTTGCTTTGTGCTATGCTTTCACAGAATGAACTGTCTCTCTCAGCTGAGCATGTATCGTTGCTCGAGCATGGTGATCTGCGTGGAAAGACCAGTCTGGTGCAGTGCATTGAGGCGGCAAAGCGTCTGCAGCATGTGCAGAATGTACAGCTTAGCCCGGGTGAGACGACGTATGCTTGCTTGTGTGCGCTTGCGTGTGCGTGCGTGTGCGTGTGTGTGTGTGTGTGTGCGTGCGTGTGCGTGCGTGTGTGTGCTTGTGTGTCTGTGTCTGTGTGTGCTTGTCTGTGTGTCTGTGTGTGTGGTGTGTGTATCTTTTCTAGTGGAGCTTGGTGGAAGCTGATGAAGTCACACATTCTTTGCTTACGATTGAATTCCGGCAATAGTGTGCATTTACATGTATTTCTTCTTTCTCTTCGATATGTATTATATATAGGCTTGTCAATGATGACAGCAGTGACTGAGTGTAGGGAAATCACTGCTCAGCTTAGCAACAAGTTTACTCATCGCATACAGGCTCACCTGACGCACACTTTCCAGAAGATGGTAAGTGCGTAATTTTGGTATGGAAGTCTTTTAACAATGATCGAAACCCCTCTGCTTTTTGTGATGACAGATTTTAACGTTCAGTATTTCAAGTTACCGCAATCCAACCACTCAATCTTCACTCTTCGCTGCAAATTTCACTTGATAAAGTTCGCCAAATTTACTTTGGAGTACTTAGAAAAGTGTCTTAGGTGAAATGAGGGATTCAATCCTGTATGGGCGAGGCTAAAGTTTAGTAAGAATGTTCCTTACGTGACCATTGATTAGACCATTGGTATACTCACAATATATGGATGCAGCTAATGGGATTTCGGTCTTTGACCACTTGGTGGTGGGTCTGATCTACTCACCTCCCACGTTTAGGCGCTGCATCTGCGCCTTTGATCCTAGAGGGTGGTGGCGTTCCCACGGCGGATGCGGAAAACTCGGCTTCCAGCCGAGTCTCACCCGAACCGTGAAATTAATTAATTAATTTATTTTTATTTTATACTCACAATATCTAAGTTGTAAAAAGAATATTAAAAAGATGATAGAGTGGATTCAAAACCGGCTGTGAAGTTGGGACTTTCTTTGGGATGGTTGTGGCAATCCATCTTCTCCTCTTCGCATACCGGCTCTGCAGACTGCAGTGATGCCAGGCCGTGAAACATACCACTCACGACCACTGAAGAAGCTGTATGGTAACATCAATTGCAAATCGGCCTATTAACATTTTGATATTTTGTGTTGTAATTTTGTTTTCTTTCAGGCGTCCGATGCCCTTGACATGTCTGGCATGCGCCATACCAGTGAAGTCATCCTACGACCTCATTCCCAGATTCACCATGAACTGTTGCCATACTCGCCACTGGTACTCTGGCTGCGCACGGCCGATGAGAGCACCTATGCAGACGTGTGTCGAGTGAGTAGATGTGTGACAATTAACAGCAGCCCTCTGCGCGCCTAGTACTCGCTATGCTCCACACGCCTGGCGCAGCATCACATTGTTTGTCACAACTTGTCCAATACTAGTATGTACTAGTTTCTTTTTTAGTACTTTGAAGTACTATAGATCCGTACACTTGAAACTGGATTATACTTCATAAGCAGACATACTTGTTGGGAATTTAGTTCCGTCGTTTCCGTCCAAGGAGCTTCCAGACTAGCGTCGATTTGTCCTGCTTTTCAGTGCGTTTAATGGTCCCTGGACGAAATTTTCAACCGGACGAACCCTCTTTCTTTGCAGTTGGACGAAGTTATTCACTGACTAAATTTCCTGCCTCTGCAGTAATTTGGTATAGCACTCTTTACAATTATATCTATAGTCCCATAGTATATTAGTACTACATGTATTCCACTCTTCAGTTGCACGCATCCAGTATTACTCTGGACACAGCTCATGTACGTATGATGTACTTTTTGTAGGTGCAACTGTATTGATGCAGTGGCTGAGTTCTTGCGTTTGTACCATGTTCTCTGTTTTGTGCGGTGTTGCTCTTCTTTCAGTCCTACGTGCAACACATGAAGAAAGTCTACGAGAATGAGATCAAGGAGTTCATGGAATGCACGAAGCAGAACCTGAGTAAAGAGCGCCGTCAGCTTGCTCCCTCTGCTGGTAAGGCTGTGTGTAACCCTAGGCCATGCCGCTGTAGCTGCCTACCTGTAGTGATCAGTCACTGGGAACTGGGCACACCTGATTTAGTGATCACTAGGACTCAGAGCTCTCAATACTGATATGGGTCTGGCCAACGAGTACAAGTATGTGCACATGTAATAATTGGATACTATTATACTCTGTAGGGAGAGGGAAAGTTCTGTTGCCACTCCCCGACTCCCAGTCCGACTTTCACATCTAGCCACGATAATTAGGTAAACATACTATTGATGCCATGACAGGTATTGGTCTGTGCCATCTGAAGGTTCCTGCTGTGTATTATATGTAGGCCCTGCCGATCAATGCAGTAGCAGCGGCAGTAGCAGAATTCCTGCCCTGTGTTAATCCCTGCTTGGCGCAATAACGCAAAGTACTGTACTCTACCTGTGTGTGTGTCTTACAGGTATCAAGGGTGGCTCGGCGGTGAAGAAATCCACCAGCACGAGTAGCTTGGCGTCAAGCCGTGGCAGTGTACACGCGCCTGAGTCGTCGCGTGGCAGTGACTCACGCGGTTCTGCCGGCATCGAGGAGGAGAGATCACGCTTTGATCATGTAAGGCAGTAGAACGTGGTAGTGCTTGATGGTGACTCATGCTAGCAAGTTGATTTTAAAGATTGTGTACGTATCACAGTTGCGTGTAGTCAGTGTGTGGTTGGGGTGGGTGCTGGAACAAAAAACCCACATGTTTTCACTAAAAACCTGTGGATTGGCAGGGGAACTGGGTAACTGAAAACATGCTACACTGTATTCAAACTCGCAGTGTTCACTGGACATTCACGCCGCCTCCGCCAGTTTCCCACTGGTCAGTGAAGCAAGCGGATGAGTGAGGAACCGGGGTCTGACTGTGTAGGTACTGTAGGCCAATGGCAGACTAGGCAGGAGTTGTTGTGATCTCTGTTCTCATTCAACTCGTATTGTTTGCCGATAGTGAAATGGCTTGTGGCTGTTGAGGAATGCACTCACTGTGTGGAGTCTCTTTGGTCTCTGGCAGTGGCGTTCCTTGCAGTTGAAGCTGACAAACACTTCTTTGTAGTTCCAGGCAGTCAGTGTGTGGCTAGTGTGTGTATGTGTCAGTGTGTCAGGGATTGAAACTGTATTGAGTGTCTACAGTTTGGCCATGTGCTGTGCACCCTGTAGATAAGTGTGAATCATCTCTCTATTGCCGTCCTATGTTTGTGTTCACCTTTGTCAAGTTCCCCTGCTTGTTATGTGTGTGTATGCATGCATGCATGCATTCTGCAGGTGTTCAACACTATTCTCAATCAACTGGACCCAGTTTGCAGCCGGGAACAAGATTTCTTGGACAGGTTCTTCTGCTTCTCGCAGCCGACTGAGGTCAGGAGTAGCCTGTTGCTGTACAGTGTACACTATGCATGAAGCATGACGCAGCACGGTGGCAGAGCCTGCAGCTCTCTACTTCCGCTGTTACTGTGTGTTGACATTGTGCTTCTGGTGAACATGCCCGAGAGTTGTTGCCTAGACATGATAACCTGACCAGATGGGGCAAAGATAGGTGTTTTTTTTTTAAAGAAGACAATCATTGCAGATCTCTTGTTTCAACATCATCAAAACATTCTCCTTTCCGCTATTCCTGTGTTGCCATCTTTTTTCTACAGTCAACGGATAGCGCTACTAGTGCTACGTCGTCAGAGAGGCGCAAAATGCTGAAAGGAACTGACAGGTATGCGTGATGCAGCTCAATTTTTTTCCTTCGCGCAATCTGAATTTTTTCCCAATTACCGTAAAATCCCGCCAGAGCGCCCCTACCTCCTCGACGCTTCGTTGGGGAGGGGCGGATGGGCGAGTCCTACTTGCCGCATTCAGTACTACATGAAAAAGTACTCACCCTACGAAAACTGCTCGTGCATCTCGTACACCGACCAAAGGGCAAGAGCCAGGAGTTGTACGGACCCGTCAAAACTCAGGGTTTGTGCAGCGATCCCTGGTCAAGAGGGTGGGCACTGTTGTGTACATTTCCAACGGGGTCAAGCACGTGTCTGCAGTACAGTACGGCATCACAGAGTCATACGAGGATACAATCAATCACTTCCCTGACAAGAAGTCCGGGAGGGGCGGATGGGGGAGACGGGGTGCTCTGGAGGGATTTTACAGTAGTCCTAAAGTTTGATCAGTTCGTCGTAGGGACTGGTGATTCACAGCTCCCATTGATGCGTAAGTGATTCTGTTCAAGTGTATTTATGGAAACGCCGTCTTTACTTGACCAGACAGGGTGGAGGTAGCTTTACTAGTACATGTACCAAGAATACATAACCCCCCAGAGTGTGCATGCGTCATAAATAATGACGTCAACTTGAAATTCTGTCGGGACAGCAGGGTATGTGGGAGTTGCACACTCTGGGGGGTTATGTACTCTTGCTAGTACAGTCAGACCTCGCTTAACCGCACACATCCGTTTTCCACAAAAATATCCGGATAGGCGAGGGAACCGGATAACCGAACACCGGTTATGTTGGACGCATCACATATGTTGTAAATCTGTTGCCAGCCATTTTCTTCCGGATGACGAGGGATCCGGATAAGCGAGGTCTGACTGCACTGCACTATGGCTTTGATTCCTGTATAACCTTTGCCAATTTCTACATCAGTATGTACATGTCCTGCTATCAGGACCGTGATGTTTACTTTCTGCTGACTTTTTATGTGTTGCTGTGTACCTGATGTTTGCAGCACGGACGCACCGGCCGGGGCTTTCACGAAAAAGTGAGTGCACGCCATGGCCGGTGACATGTTGAATCTAGTGGTGCCTTTCGGTGTACGCTGTATGTGAATGGTGTGTGTGTGTCTGCTTGTGTCTGTGTGTGCATCTGGGTGTGCGTAACTTAGACCAGGCTGAATAGCGGCTGCCAATTCGTCATCGTTATAATCTGTTGAATAGTGCAATTCCGTCACAGGTTGCTATGGCTTCCTCTGTAGGATTGCTGTCATCGCCGATGGTGTCTAAGGACTTGAAGGTGTGCGTGTATGTACACAATTTTGTTTGGCACGTTACTGCAATCATGCACTGCTGTACTGAAACCAGTGGGATGGATCGATACGTGGGCACACTCTTCCACAACTATGAAGTATTCACGAACGTGTCCTTTGTGGGTGCCGCTATTTACAGTTGCACTTCGTGAAATCCTGCACAAAGCCGGCGCCGTGAACCAGTTCCCATTACGTCACTACTAGATTTTTACATGACTATTTACGTCCAGCAGCATTCTCACTGCTTCCAGGATGTCATGGTCGTGCAAGTCCAGGACACCGAAAATGCACTTTGGGTCGGATTTTACCGAGCACAGCTACGCTATCTTACTCAATTAGGGCTCCTTGAAGTTGTGATTGGGTACTGAACAATTTCTTTTCTGCACCTGTTTGATGTTGCCTGCAGGAAAATGTTGGCAGAACTGCTGGCAACAATAGAACCGGAAATCCAGTCTCTAGTACAGTTTGGTGACAAAATTGATGGCTAGTAAGTGTTGCCATGACGATTATGACCCATGCACATTTCACAAGCTGCTCTGGCACCAAAGAATAATTGTCTTCTCAAGGCCGTCACAGCCACAGCTGAGGCCGCCCCACTTTTTCGGCCGTTTTTTTTTTTTTTTTTTTTGGAGCACACTGCAAGAAAGATCGATGATCACAGCTCAGCGCAAACGTAGCAAATCCTTGTCCCCGATCGTGGGTTTTTTGCAGAAACAAAACAGTCTTTCATTGCAGTTACACTGAAATGGCACCAAATGTCTGGAAATGCTTGCAATTGGCTTCAATTTTTGACATTTTTCCCAGGGGAGGGTAATGTTTGTCCCGGATCGTAGCGTCGTCAAGGTTTGTTGCAGGATCAAAAAGTCTTTCATTTTAGTTACACTGAAATGGCACCAATTGCCTTCAATTTTTGAATTTTTTCCCGGGGAGGACCCCCAGACCCCCCCCCCCCCTTCCATGGCCGCCCCACCTCCAAAGTCGGTGCGACGGGCCTGCTTCTATATTCCAGGTGGTTGCTGAAACCCGTTGGTCTCTTGACCAGGTGTTAAGTGACTGAAGAGTTAATGGTCTCTCTCTCTCTCTCTCTCTCTCTCTCTCTCTCTCTCTTCCCCTCCCCCTCCCTCCCCATTTTGTTGTCCTCGTCACTTTGCAATGGTTGCTTGCTTGCTGTACGAGTAGCTATACTGTAGATTTGACTCCATCATTTGAGCATGATGAAGAGTCTTGAAGACTAGTTCACATAGAGCACCTACCATAGCCGTTTGCAGTGCCGCCAATCCCTATTTCCCTGGACTGGACCTAGTGGTGTTGTTGATATGGCTGAGGGTGGCACATTTAGACTGCATGCAGAACTGTGATGAATTTGTTGTGTTTTGGTGTGTGTGTGCGTGTGTGTGTGTGTGTGTGTGTGTGTGTGTGCGTGTGTGTGTGTGTGTGCTTGTGGTGATATTTGTACAGCAACACACTGTACATGCTGGTCAGAACAAGTCAGGATGTGTTGCCCCCGGAGACGAAGGGAGCAGCTAGTGTGGCGCACCCGCCTTCAGCGTCCATGCCCGCCTTCAGCTTCCTCCATCAGGTCATGGGCTTGGTGTTAGTCAATGTCAAGCGACGTTTTGACACATTCATGGTAAGTTCACTGTATTTATCGGTGTACTTATCGGCATAGTATGGCCACACTGCCAGTCCGTTGGTATGTTTAGGGTTTCCTTACTCCAGATACTCAGTTGCCCAGGCTGGTTGGTGTGCTAACTCCTATTTCACATGAACGTAGCCATGCATATTTTGTCTGCTGTTAGAGCAGCATGCTGTCTGGTCACCGTAGCAAGTGCTTGGTGTCTTCCATGTGTGGTTTAGACCAGGAGTGCATTGGAGGGGTTGATTCACTTGGCTTTGTCAGTTGTATGGATTGGGCAGTTACCTGGCGCAAGTCATGATCTGTTTCATTCAAATCTTTTCTACTGTTGTTGCTACAAGAGAAAATCCAGGGGTGCATTGCCAGTGTATGTGCCGATGTGTGTGCTTCTCTTGCGACAACCTGCTACATGGTATCGTGTTTGCGTGTATTCGTGTGTGCGTGCGGTGGGTGTTGGTTGCTCCGTGTTGCCCAATAGAATTCTCTTGTAAAGACGTGCAGCGAGCAGAAGGTCAACAAGAAGGTCCGGTGTGGTATCCTGCAGTGCGTGCATGTTTTGGAGGTGAGCCTTTACTCCTTTCTACTGCTGCTATGTTGTTCCTGTTGCGTTTGCAGAATGCTTATTGCTTGTTACGTGTGTCATGGCTTGTTGATTTTACTTAGTGTATGCATGTGCACCTTGGCATTTAGGATTTGAGCAGCTCCTAGATGGCCCGTTGGATTTGCCTATGTATATCTGTGTGTTTGTACTTGTGTGTGTGTACGTGTGTACATGTGTACGTGTGTGCGTATGTACGTGTGTGTACATGTGTGTGTGTGTGTGTGTGTGTGTGTGTGTGTGTGTATGTACGTGTGTGTACGTGTGTGTGTGTGTGTGTGTGTGTGTGTGTGTGTGTGTGTGTGTGTGTGTGTGTGTGTGTGTGTGCAGTCTTATCTTCGAGATATAGATATCATAAGTTAGTCCTTTTGAGTTTTACTCATCATTTCCCTCTCTTTGCATCATCGTCTTTGTCAGGAATTCGCCCAGCATGCAGAGAATATTGTCGGTTCGTCGGAGAGACGTAGCGATGTGGACAAATCCTACAAAACCCTACTGACGGTGGTGGACGAGACCATAGAGCGTATTGCAGCTGGCGAGACCAAGTCACCGCCAGATGTCATCATCTTTGGTGGGTAGCTATTTATACTGAATACAA